TTATTTTCATAACCTCCATCTTGTCGATGTTCACATGGAGTCCTGTCTTCGCCGGCTGCATCTTCGACCAGTCTGTCGGTTTTCACTTGTGAGTCTTCGATTTTGTGTGACATCAAACATAAATCATCCACGCGCGAAATCCAGGTCTTCTAGGTTCTTCACGTCGGTCCAGGATATCCCTGTCTTCTCGTTTCCCACTCACTGTCTGACGCATAATCCAGTCAGTCCACCATAATTAGGAATATCATTGGTGATAATAAGCACCCTTGTCTGACTCCTGTGTTTATTCCGAACGTCTCGCTGAGTTTTCCGTTGTTGATCACTGGACATGTACCGTTGTCATACAGCTGTTGAATGAGGTTGATGAATATTTGGGGTACGCCATAGTACTCGAGTAATTTCCAAATTACTTCACGGTCAACTCTGTCGAAGGCCTTTTCAAAGTCTATAAAGTTGATGTAGAGGTTTGATTGCCATTCCATGCTTTGCTCTGTGATGATGATGCGTAGAGTTGCAATTTGGTCAGTATATGATTTGCCTCACTTTCCTGAATCCAGCTTGTTCTGGTCGGAGTACTGTATCCAGTGCGTCTTTTAATCTCTCCAGGATGATGCGACTCAGGATTTACTTGGCGTCGATAGGAGCATGATTCCCCGCCAGTTCTTGCAGAGTCCTAAATTACTATGTTCCAGTAATCTAACTGATTCCAATCTACTGGATTTACCTATGTAACTGACCTCACACTCTTTATAGGGTATTTTTCAAATAATATAATTTTACTCATTAGATTTATTGGTTTCTTAATTTAGAAAACAGAAAGATTGAGCGAAGAAATATTTACTTTTCAATTAGATCCTCATCTTTGGCTCTACTCTAATATATATAGCATTTTGATTACAATACACAACAGTTTGCCAATCAAGTGGCGATAAGTTTGTTAACAATAATTAAACAGTGTCAATGGGTTAACAGTTAATGAAGGAAATCATTACAGATTTAAAAGGTAGAAATGGATAGAATAAATTAATTTTACAAGAATAACACGTAATTAAAGATGAAGTGGTCAAAATAAATAAAATAAAATAAATAATTTAGACAAATATAATTTTATAGGCTTAGGGGAAGGGGGTGACGCAGTCCTGTTTATCCATTCTTGTGACGATGGCCACGGTAGGGAAAGTGGCTGTACAAATTTTTTCTGTACACATAGGCTTGGCTTCTTCAGATGAATGCCAATCGCCTCAGCCATCTGTAGAAGACGAACTCGCAAAGCAAAATTAAGATAAGTTGGAATGCGATAAATAATTTTAAATGCTGTATTAACATCAATCTTATGCTCAGTATCAGCGAGGTGGGCTAAAATAGAGCTACGAATAGATTTTTTTGTCCCTTACTTAACCATGTTGGATGATGTTCGGAAATACGACGATGAACTTGCCTAATTGTACGCCCAATGTAGCTGGCTCCGCAGCTGCAGTCAAACTGGTAGATACACATAGAGGAGGCGAATTTAGGTAGTTTATCCTTATTACTCGAACATAAAATAGGTGTGGTTGTAAAGAGACAACGTACCTCTGCTGCATAATAAGTTCTTTTAACTGCATTCTTCAGGCGCTGTGTTATTAATTCGCTGATGTTGTCACCGAGGAACTGCAATTTTATGAACATTGGTTTTTTTGGGACTGTGGCCATACTGACTCTCCTTGGAGCTGAATTTATATTTTTCTCAATGAATTTATCTGGATAGCCATTTTTTCTAAGTAATTCTCTAATAATCTTAAGCTCCTCATTGAAGCAGTCGTCTGAACAGATTAACCTAGCTCTATGAGCCAGACACTTCACGAGGTTACGTTTATATTTCAAAGGTACAAAACTCAAAAAATGAGTGTACTGACCTGTTGTTGTAGGTTTCCTGTACACACTTCTTCTTAGTGTGCCATCTTCTCTCCTTACCATGAAGACGTCTAGGAATGAGATACTGTCATTACTTTCTTTCTCTATGGTAAAGTTTATTGCTGAATGTGCATCATTAAACTTGTCAAGGATGTTCACTGCATCATTCTCATCTTTCATAACCACAAATGTATCATCCATATATCGACAGTAGAAATCCATGTCATTAATTACTCCTTTCAGTGGTCCATTCTCTAATTTAGCGAGGAAAAATTCAGCTAGGATTGGACAAACTTTATCTCTGAGAGAGTTGGTGGATTTAAATGCCACCCCAATCCCAAACTTACTAAGAGTCCTATGCAAATCTTCTACTTTTGCCTCTATGTATTAAAGTATTATAATGAATATCATACACCCAATGCCCAAATTTTTTCAAACCGTTAAAAGTGGACTTAGTTTGGACATATATATTACGAAGGATAATTGTAACAGGAGACGACAAGAGACTTGGTGAAGGAATTTTTAATGAAGGAAAAACACACCATATTTGGATTTTTAGTCATATTTAAGGTCATCGGAAAATCGACTATTCTGATTGGTTGCTAATTTTTTTAATGGTCAAATCTTGAGACGAACAGTTATCCAATGAAATGATACTTGACCACAACGTAAGCTTAGTCTATTTCCTTAGACATTGACTTGAAATGCTGCTTTCAATTTTGGCTAATTCCTATCATTCTGAGTGTATGTACTACTGATAAGTTTGGACAGTAGTACACATCGTACTATTTTTAAATAAAAGTAGCAGTAAAATTAACAAAGAATTCAAACACTGGAATCAACTCCAAGCACGTTAATTCTAGGTGACGCGATAGATTGAACTGTGATGAAAAGCAGCAAGGAGTAGGGCTATAGCAGATTATGAATAATTAGTTATGCTCGAGAGGTCATTCAGTTATTGTTAATCCAATGAATCTCTGTATGTTATATCAAATCAGCTTATCTAACATGGAGTTATATTATACTACAGTACTCGTATTTTGCCGTTACATTGAATTACTTTGAAAACATTTATTCCCGATACGAATTTAAAACAAGCAACAAAGGTGGTTAATAAAGCAGGATGATTTAATGAATTCATCGAATTTCGGTAGAACTCCTCTTTAGCTGAATACTCTACATACACGGATATATATATAGCACCAGTGAAATTACATTGGGAGATATAAGACTGACAAGTAAACAAACTACATTGAATTAATCATCCAGAAAGACAGGTGTGAATGTTTTCCAGGTCATTTTCAAACAGATAAGGGGAGAGGGAGTATGTAAGAGATTAAAACTAAGATAAAATGAATTACGCTTCAATTACATCACTTAGACAGACAATTAGTCATTAGAGAATATATCGAGAATTGCTAACAGAGCAATACCAATAGTAATAGTTATAATAACAAACTTAATATTAGTGTTGAATTGAGTTAAGATAATTCTACTGATAAAGGATGGTTTTAAATGAATCAGGAATAATAATAACAATAATAATAAGAGGTAGAATAATAAGTAAGGCGTATTACCATAGTAGATTCAGAGACACGACCATTTCCTTTTGTATACAGAGACCTGGTTTAGAAACTCTAATGGAACACACCTCTGCAATTGCAAGTATCTTCTTGTTTCTTTGTCTGCTGACAATAGTGAATGACTTGACCGCGTCGGTATCATGTCTGTAGTCCACATTATGTTTTGTTATTGAACTTCTTCGCATTTTGAATTCAGCTGTTTTCAAATGCTTTGGCAAATGCTCTATCATGAGAGTATACAATCAACTTTCTGGACGACGTATGTGTTTGATTCCACAAACATACTCAAACTGATATACACAGTTTGAATTGTTGAGAGTTGGCGACTGGTCTTCTCAGATTGTTGAAGTAGTCGCTTGTTGCTGATAAGGAGGACGAGTTTTGAGGTATAATAAATTTTCTTGGTGGCTTTATCCAGTCTTTGTTTGACTACTTCTTGTATATCAACTCCTTTGAATGACAAATTGATATAGACAGATTTCTTCGGAACTGTTTGGATAGTTTAGCAGGGACACATTTCTCTAGAGTATTTACCAATGGACTTCTGCTGGAGATCTATTCTTACTTAAAATATCCTTCAGTGATTTTATTTCATGCTCAATAATACTGTCCGAACAAATTTTCCGTACTCTAGTGGACAGTGTTCTAAGTTCTTTTTATAGGGAATTGAAAAATAGCTCTTGAAATGCATGTACTGTCCTGTCCATGAAGACTTTCTAAATATAGATCTTTCGATTGTGCCATCATTGATTTTGGCTAGAAAAACGTCTAGGAATTTACTAGTATCATTTTCTTCGTGTTCTATTGTGAAGATGAGATTCAGGTGGTATGAGTTGAATTTTATCAACATGTCTTCTTCAGCTTTTGATCTGCTTCCACAGACAATAAAAAATGTCATCAATATATTTTAGGTATACATCCGTTTCTCGTATATGTCGCTGCAAAGTAGCAGCTTCTAGGCCTGACAATGATATGTCTGCAAGAGGTGGTCCCAAGGGGTTTCCCATCGCGACACCAGCAAATTCACGGAATAGACACCCATTGAAGTGGAACTGGACATTTTAGTACACAAAAGTAACAATTTCCTCAATTCCACTGTCGGGATGGGTATATCTTCAGCTTCTCTACTTATAAATTGAATAGTCTTAATGACGGCACATTTGTAAAAAGGGAGGTAACATTAAAAGAGACCAGATGCTTATCAGATACATTGAAATCTTTAATTTGTTTGAAAAAAGACTGAAACAAATCAGAAACCGTATACGTTCCAAAATGTGTTTTCAAGGGCTGCAACAATTCACATAGCCACTGTACTAATTTGTGGTATGGTGAATTTATCATTAAGAGTATAGATCTTAACGGTGCTCCTGGTTTGTGTATTTTAAGGCGTCCGTATAATTTTTGGATTTGTAATCCAAATCGGTTTGATATTCATTCCTATATGTATTTTCATCTACTTGAATAAATTTGAATTTGAACAGTATTTAAAACATATTTCTTTTTCCAACTATTTTCAATTTTCAGATATTCGTGAAAAATTCTCATTAATTATTGATTTAAGCACTTGCTTTATGGAACTCATAAAAATACTGTGTATTGATTGATTGATTTTATCATGTTATAATGACTTTATTTTAAACAGTAATAATCACACAATAATTGAATTTTCTGCATTGCGAATATTGTAACAATTTGCCTCCTTTTACAAATAAATCAGTTTTTACGAATTGATCACAGATTGATATCTGATGCTCGCTAGTGACTTGCTACAGGGCGGAGTTTCCTGGAGTTCTAGTGAGAAGTCGTGACCAGTGAGGTTCATCCAGTCAAATGTGAGGATGGATTTCTCATCGAAGACAATAGTTGGGGTCGCGATAAATGCATCACAAATTGGTAGAAGTTAGAATTCATAGGCTAGCCAATGAAGAGGGTCAGTTGCCAGTGGCTGAGCGGTATACGAGTTAGCTTGCCTTGTAACCGGAAGATCCTGAGTTCGAACCTTGGTGTTGGGTGGGTACTGCCGGTGATTTTCAAACTAGGATGAACCAGCTGTCCAGTACTTCCTGGTTTTCAATGCTTCTCTAACTGATATCAATCTCTGTTCAACTCATAAAAACAAAGCCAATCCTTACAAACCAACTGTAGAAAATGAACTAATACACAAAAAGTAGTGAAAAATCATAAAACAACGAATAAACCGAAGTTAATAGAAAATTAATAAAGGTGAGTATCTTTCTCTTATCCAACTCGGTGGATGCTACTGGTTTCAGCTCCTCAGCAGAACTGAAGTTGGCCTCCTGTATGAACCAAGTCACTAGTGAGTATCAGATGAATCCTCAAGTGTTTCTTTTGCATGTATTTGATTGGCTACAGGCTTGATTCTGAGCTCAGATCATGATCGAACCTGTAGTCAATCAGTTCTCTGAAAACAAACCCTAGACAACGTGGTTAGATTAAATTTTTGTATTTTTTTCATGCTACCACCTGAAGAGAAAGTCACAAGTCTCCGAAATAAAAGCGACTTTAGTCACCTGCATGCAGGAATGAAAACACAACGATACTGTGTTAGCTAGTTGGGTGAAAAGCACACAACCTTCAAAATCTCTCAAGTAAAATAACCCAATCTTTTCTTAAGAAGACGATTGCAGCGAAGAAAATTTTCTTTTCGACGAAGTCATCATCTTGGCTGTACATTCGTGTATTTATATCAAATGGATAGGAAAGTTCCAGAATAATATCTGGTCAAGGGTCAAATTAGTAAAAATTAAAATTAGGAATTAGAATGCCATAATAAACAGAGGGATGGATAAAACAAATAAAGTATCATCATGATAGTATACAATTGGTGGATGGTGGCTAGCAGTGGAATCCAGGATAACGCGCATTTCGTCCTATTCGGGACTCGTCAGCTGGATGTACCTGCATTTCTCAGTGAGTGATGATGTTCCCACTGAGGCTCGAACCCAGTACCCATAGTTTCAAACGCCAAAGCGGATATCATCATGATAGCTAAGAAGATTGACATTGTGCAATTAGGGGTTAGAAATCTTTTCTAGGAAGACCGGGAAGAATAAGGGGGAATGACAGAAAAGAATGAACAGAATACATAAGTGGATGAATTGCAAGAAAAGCGATCAAGTTACACCACAAAGTCCTAACTTTTTTATGTAGAAGGTTAAAGGTAGGATATTTTTTAAGAAATCAATCAAATATGAGACGAACAACAGTATTGTTGATATTACAAGAATCATGTGACTGAATCGATTCAAGCAAGTCTTGTTCACTTTTGAAACTAAGACTCAAAGTTCGACATATAAAGGTGTTGAGTTGGTGCGTCGGTGGCACAGTGGTTAGGATTCTCGCCGACCATGTACATAGTCCGGGGTTCGAGCCCTTGCCGACGCACATTTGATATCTATGGTCGGACTGCGAATTTTGGGCTACCGATATCCACGCTGAAAATTCCATACTTGTACCAAAAATACGGTGTGGGATCAAGCTGTAAATGGAGGAAGTAAAACACTATGAGGTACACCGGCTTTTGTAAGTAAAGAAGTGGAGTTTCAGGTAATGTTTACAGTAAACATTACTGTATAACACTGTGAGACTTTATCGAAACAAAATTTACCCATAATGGATTACACTCTACCACAGTGCAAAAGTTTTATTCTTATATTAAAGAAGTGGAGTACTTGACGTTAAAATCAGCGTTTCGTTTCCTGCTCAGGACTCAATGAATACAGAAGTCAACTTATTCAACAGATGCGCTCTAAGCATAGAATCAAAATCGATAGTAGTAGTCTAGAAAAACAGGTTGAACAAACTTTTCACCTTTATACAGATTGCAAAATTCTAATCTTATGTCACATGGGAAGCCAGCGATTCTGTTGTGAAATACACGTTATGTAGGCCTGTAGAGGATTTGATCAAGCTACTAAGCGTCAGCTAGCAATGTAAAGTTTTCGGTCCTTATTAAACGATCAAAGCCATCGCCTATATGTTGTTGTTAACTTTCACACCAGAAGTGAGGCTGAAACATGCCCGTAGTTGTTCGCCTGTCTGTGATGATGCTGCATTGATGTGACATCAATTCTTTGGTCAGCGGTTATTATTTTATTATTATCTCCTTGCATTCCGATTGGAATATAGGGCTTCAGTAACACATCTTTACTTTTTGATGATATATATTAGATAGTTGAAGGCAATCGGCCACAAGAAGCCTTGGACCTGGGTTTCGTGCTAGTTGGCACTCATCACCAAGGTGTATCTGCAACCTTGAAGGAACCCATGTCCCTTCTGAGATTCAAACCCACGTCTTGCACTGCTGCAGTCACAGACGTGACGCGGGTCCGAATCTCGGAAGGGACGTGGGTTTCTTCAAGGTTGCAGATACGCCTTGGTGATGAGTGCCAACTAGCACGAAACCTAGGTCCAAGGCTTCTTGTGGCCGATTGCCTTCAACTATCTAATATATATCATCAAATCATTGTGCGCCGTGATGGCGAGCTAACTAGAATGATGGCCTCATTGCAAAGCTAACTGATAGAATTCAGTCTGCACCAAAGAAAGAACTAGATACGTCACACTAAGTACTAGTGTCTAATCAAAATAACGTCTTCATTTTATTCCACTCTCTGCCGTCCTCTTTACCTGAGTCAACGACTGACCTCACACGATCTCCTTCATGTCACCCTACCACAGACGACCCACTCGTCGCTTCACAATGGAATTCCACTCGAGGGTCTGGTTTGCGATGTCATTTGGCGGACTCCTCAATGTATGCCCGATTAACTCATCTCCACTTTCTCCTACACATTTGTCGAGCTATTCCGCTCCTGGTTGATTTGTTCCACTACAGAGTTTATTGTTGTTAGTTCTTTCTGATTGGTCACCCATTTGATCTTCAGTATGAAGCCAGCCAGCGAAGGGGGCGGCTGTTGATGATATTCTCCAACAGGCTCTTGGAAATCCTTTTCAAGACAGGCTGGCCAAGTTTCGGACCTGTATAGAGGCACTGACCGACTTCATATTGGTGTTGAAAATCTGAATCTTGTTCCTATTGCTGACTGAGTGCAGTGCAGAAGATTTCCAAACTGGTTTCACGTTGATGAAGACGTATCTCGCCTTGTCTTTTCGAATCTGACTGGCTTCAACAACTTCGTCCGTTCATCCTGTACTTGAAACGATGCTTCCTAGCCGGATAATTGAAAGAGATAATCTCTGTTAAATCTCTCCGTTGATGGTGATTGGTGCTGGTTGTTGTTGTTGCAGTTGACGTTGGTTGGTTATCTTTATCACCTCCATCTGTCTTCTATATGTCCACTTGCAGTCCTGTTTTCTCTGGCAGTCTGTTCAGACAGTTGGTTGGTTTTCGCTTGCAAGTCCTCGACTTTGTGTGACAATAGACGTGTATCATATAAATAGTCAGATTGCCGGAACATAGAAATTTGGCTAAGGTGAGAATGATTGACTCCTACCGCGAAGATAAGTAATTTAGAAAAATTGCAATTGCAATTCCACTGCATGCATTAACACGCAACCACACTATAGGTTGTGTGGGATAAAGTCAAAGTTCTAATAAGTACTACGGTTAGGTGGAGAGAGAGAGAGATTGATTACTGAATCCTGCCTGGTTCTTCGAGTCTATACCCAACACGTGTAATACGAATTACTAATCACTCATACCCGAAATATGGAAAATACTACTACCAATCAAATCAAACGATGGAAAATAATGGGATTATATTAATGAGGTTAGACAGTTGTGTGAGTAGCTTGATATGATTATGAGCAGGAATAAATTGTGCTCGAAACGTCATCAGTAAATATTGCTTACTGTATAACACTGTGAGACTTTATCGAAAGAAAAATTTTACCCATAATGAAGTATAACTTCTCTCACAGACTCTGAAAGTACTGTTAGGTTCTGTTTTTGTTACTCAGTCTTTGATACTACACAAGATTGAAATGAACAAATGTGAAAAATACGTATTCTCATATTTACACCCAACCCTTACTCCTAAAATTCGTTAACTCTTGTATCCTACCTATTATTCCATATTGTCCCCCCTTAGTTTTTCCAGGGGTACTGAATAAAGACTATATCTTATTACGTGGGATGTTAAAGGTTGTCAGCAGGGTAAGTTACGTGCCATTTAACCAGCTTGTTAATATTCTGGTTGACAGGCACATGGATTCATGTGAAAAGTGGGCTAAATCCATTCTATTTAACTCACACCAAGCTCTTCATTCACAACTCTCACCTTGTTGTATCTCATCAGACAGGACCAGAAGACTATATAGAAAACTATATGCTCGCACTAGAAAGTACAAAACTCAACCATACCCTACTTAGCACGTGTTCTATGCGATAAAGAACGCACTAGGTGTGAAACCTATAACTTGTTAAATAGTCATCAGAACAACTGGATCTCGTCTTTCCAACTCATATCACTTATAGGCACAGCGTTTTTCTTTCTTTCTTATCCTTTTCTCTCTCTTTTTTCCTCTTCTGTTATGTGCTGCTCTGTTTCTTTCTTCCTTACAAACTCAACTTCAAACATTCTCCTTCGTTCTTTCACACTCTGTTTATTTCGACCTTTTTGTTACCGCTTACGCCAGTAAATATGCTAGTAGTATCTACTTTTCTAACACCTTCAAACATTCTGTTCACTTTTGGCTTTGCTGCCGACACGCTAATATGTTGTTGTAAAAGCTGACTGAGATTACCCATAATCTATGTATAATTTTATTTATTGTTAATCTACTAACTGGATAGGACTTCAAGTGAACATAGGTAAAACAGAGGTGATGAAGAATTTTGGCCATCACCAACAGCAACAACAACAACAACAGACGACAGTCAGCATAAATGGCAGGAACCTGAAAGAAACAACCTCCTTCACCTACCTGAGAAGCATCGTTTCAAATACAGGCGGAAGCGACGAGGATATCAAAGCCAGAATCGGAAAAGCAAGACAGGCTTTAATTACCCTTAAGTCTGTGTGGAGGTCAACAGCACTCAGAATGAAAAATAAGATCCGGATTTTCAACTCCAATGTGAAGTTAGTGCAGCTTACCATATGGATCAGAGACTTGACGCGTCGTAAAGAGCATCTCAAACAAACTTCAGACCTTCATTAACAGTTGTCTTCGCTCAATACTCAAGATCAGGTGGCGGGCCAGAAATGATCAGCAATGGGGATCTCTGGGAGCGAACCATCCACAGGAACCGACTGTGAAACAAATAAGCAGGAAGAAATGGAGGTGGATTGGCAGACCATGCTCTGAGAAAATAGACCATCAAGTGACATCACTAGACAAGCCATCACTCGAGTGGAACCCGAAAGGGAAGCGGCGAGTTTGTCGTCAGTGCGAGAGTGACTTGGAGGAGGTCATGTGAAGAGGAGATGAAAGCATGTGGGCAGACTTGAAGCGGGGTGAAAAAGTTGGCAGAAAACAGAAGGCAATGGAGATGCGCAGCTGAAGCCCTATGTTCCTCTAGGAATTAAAAGATATAATAATAATACTAACTGGATGCAATACTGTATGTAGTGAAATGCTGAGAATTCCACTCTGTATCACAAGTACTGCTTTGAAATACAGCAAATTATTATTATTAAAATGACATTTCATAGCCTACCGAATATCCAAAAGTTTATCCAAATACTGCCTACAAACATAAATGTTTGTAGGCAGTATTCATTTAAGGATCAAATAACAAATTGCAAGTTGAAAATCCACCGAACCAGTGTTGAAAATCGAGTTGACTGATATGTAATATGTATCAGTATAGTTACAATAGAAAAATAACTCTTTTTCAATGTTACAGAAACGAAAAGTATACCCACATGGTTAGTTAAAATTCATAATACTAGACAGACAATACCTTATGTTAAAACCTCTCTGCGTTAATCTTAGTGATTTGCCTTCAGTAAGCAGTAGAATTCATCTGACTACTGAGAAGCCTGTTTCACAGCAACCAAAAGAACTACAGTTGGTTAACGCAAAGAATTGCAAACCCAGGTTCATCTCTGAACGTGCTACACGAAAAACTGATATTCCCGCTTGTTGATCATTGATATTAAAGGTAAATATGTATTAGGTGTCATCTCACAAAATCAATCTTTCTTCCTATCTGTCAATATTTGATTAGCCGACTTTCATTATCGACCGCCAGTCTACTCAACTTGCAGACTAACGGCGAATATGGAGATTGTCTATCATAAAAGTTGTCGTTTCCACTGGTGGATAAGATGATTCCAGTAAGGCAGTACCTTGTGGATAGACTTATAGCAAATGTGAAGAACTCCTAGAAATCCGGGTTCGATTGCATCACTGTAATGAGTACTTATTAAACTGGGAACAATACATGAGTCAGTCTTGGTGGACACAATTCTGAATTTGTTTTGCTACAGATGTGTGCGTTGTAACAAAAGAGGTTCATCACTGATACTAAAGAAAGTCGACAAACGAACATAATCATCAGTGTCTGTACTTGTAATTCTGTTAAGTAATGTCTGTGTTTTCCCAAAAAATAAAGCTGTTCCCTCCTCTCATTGCCATAACACAGCTTGTCTTCATACTCAAGAGGACCAGTTTTCCGTGTTGATGTAGTTTACGTCCAATACCAGAGCAATATAAATCTTCAGGGCTAATTGATTGAGTACATAAATATTTACTGACTACTTGGTAGCTTTTGGCTTCCTACTAAACAGATAAGTTAACAACTTTTAGGACGTCTGATGAACGTTGCTTTAGTAACCTTAAGTGAGAGCTTGGTTCATAATACAGTGTTAATTCTGCTTGAGGAAACAGTTTGCCGCCCATTTACATTCGACATGAAATGACATTTAACCTAATTAAACTTGTCATCTATTAGCGAATAAATTGACATCGATTTGTTCCCAGAACCGTTAAACATTCGCTGTACGAACAAAACTGCCAGTGTGAAGTATTCTCAGGAAAGATTTGCAGTAAATCAGCTACTAGGCAGGTCTATTGATCTTTGATCGTTATGGTCGTTTCACATTATATACGTCAGGATTATATGTTACTACGGTCTAGCATTACACTTTCCTCTCCTCTATACCATCGCAATCATTGCTCACCATCCAAATAACTTGAATGTTTGAGTAGATAACATCAGACCACATGACCATATCACGGTGCCTGACTTGGTGATAAGGACTGCACATCGCAATGACACAACGGCGTACATTGACCAACAAATTATGCCACAGAACCAACCACACCAGAAAAGTCCTATGGATAAAGATTAGGCTAACAGCAGTCACCATCATAGTATTAGTCGCCTACACTATATTAGTAGCTTTAAACATCCTCTCCATATACAACTAACTCTTTCCTTACATCTCATCGGATAGGAGAAGCTTTAAGCAACTATAGAAGACTATATGCTTGGACGACAATAACTTATTTGGCGGGCAAACATTTTATGTGATGAGAAAAGTTTAAGGCAGAATACCACCAACTTACCGTGAAATACTAAGTAAACAGCCTTACTCTTTTCATTGTTATATTGTTGTTAACGTTTTCACTGAATCTAATTTTATATTCATTTCCTTACTGATCAATATTATCAATGCAAATGCTGCGTTTCAATGATTACCCATGTAATGAGGATATTAGATGTAATACTGTACTGTACTGTGTTTTGTTTTTGATGACTATGCGTAGAGTTGCGTCGTCATCGAACGAGGCATAGAATGGCAGTCAAATCTCTACTTTAACAACTTCATCGGCTTTGAAAAGGTCTTCGACAGACAACGCTGACTGAGAAGTAATTTGGAAACTACTTCAGCACTACAGCATACCTCAAGTCTTTGTCAACGTCATTTAACAGCTGGCTCTGTGACAGTGCCACGTATCAAGTGATCCAAAACGGAAAACTCAACGGGAGGCGTTCGAAGTGAATACAGGAGTAAGACAAGCTGGCTGCCTATTATCACTTACAATGATATTCCTAATTGTGTTGGACTGGATTATGCGTCAGACTGTTGGGGCGAGGAGTCAGAACTACGCTGGACAACTGATAAGAAGACTTGATAAGTTCTGAATTTCGCGCGTAGATGATTTATGTCCAATGTCAGAACATACTCGAAGACATGCAAGCGATAACCAACAAATTGAATGAAGAGGCAGGCAGCGAAAACAGAACTGCAGGTGAATACAGAGAAGACGGAGGTGATGAAGATAGCCAATCAATAACAGCAACAACCAACACGAATCACCATCAACGGTAGAGATTTAACAGAGGCTGCTTCTTTCACTTATCCGGCTAGGAATCATCGTTTCAACTACATGTGGAACGGATGAAGATGTCAGTGAGAATCAGAAAGGTTAGATACAACCCAAAAACAAGTTTGGAAATCTTCTGCACTGCACTCAGTCAGCAATAGGAACAAGATTCAGATTTTGAACATCAGTGTGAAGTCAGTCAGTCAGTCAGTTGTTCTATATGGGTCAGAAGCTTGAAATGCGTGTCACAAAAGTGACTCACAACAAGCTACAAACTTTTATCAACCAGTGTACATTTAGCTTCCTCCATACTGAAGACCGAATGGCTAGCCAATGAGAAAGAGTTAGCAACAAGAAACTATGGGAACAAACCCAACCAACCAAGAACCAATCACTCAAGAAATATGTAGGAGAAAGTGGAAATGGATGGATCAAACATACATTGAGGAGGCCTCCAAATGATATCACACACAGTGCAGACCATCGCTCGAGGGGAATCCCAATGGGAAGAGACGAGTGGGTCATGAGTGCGAGGGTGATATGAACCCAGGTGAAGAGGACGGGAGAGAGTGGAATAAAGTGGAGATGTGTAGTTGAAGCCAGCCCTATGTTCCACTGTGAGCGCAAGGGAATTATAACACAATATAATAATACTGAACCGTGCTACTACATGCTGAAAATTTCATATTCTTACTAAAAATACTGTTTGGAATGAAGCTATTATTATTATTATTACCGTTATTAAATTATTGTCAAGAGGCAACCTGTTACACGTTTAGTAAGGTAAATATTTATCACAAAAACACCAGTTTCTGAATATTGCATTGTATTAGAATAGATAAGGATACATATATCCACAATGTCATATGATAATATAAATGAAACTACATAATATTTATGTGAGTACCATAAATCAAGTATATGTAAGTCAGTAATTAGTGGAAAATATTGACGAAGATCTAAAAGTTAAAAAAAAAACAGAATAGTTAGAATAAAGAGACTGTTTAAAAGCGATTCAAAATAAAACATGTTTATTTTAAAAGTAGAATTTGGACATTATGTTGGATAAAAAATCTATATTAAATAGATTTTCAAGTCTTGGTTTTGTAGGGATTTGATTGACTGGTTACAGGATTACATCAAGAGATGACATCGGTTAGAGAACTATTGGAAAACCAACCACAGGGAGTACTGTACAGACGTTTTCGCTGCCCTTGTTTGAGACTCTTCATCAGTACTCAGGACATTCTGATTACAAAGCAAGCTCGTACACTACTAGGCAGTCACTGGCACCTGATCCAATGGCCAACCAGTCCATGAATTCCAACTTCTGCCAATTCACGACTTAGAGCGACCGCTAGCCAATGTCTTCGGCGAGTTTGTTTTCCCCTCACACCCAACCTACTGCATCCTACTGGTCACGACTTCCCACTAGAAGCTCAGGTAATCACCTACCTGAATAGGACTAGTGAGCATCTCACTGACCGTCAAGTATTGGTATTTGGTAACGCATACAGTGATGCAGTGTGTTATTAATAACTGAACGATGTCTTGAACACAGTTTATTGCTCACAATCACATCACATTGAATTCCCTATCATTTATATTATTATTTTCCCTGAATGCATTATTGCTCTTATTTACAAGTAGGTGTTGGTAATACTGCCACGCAAAAGAGGAGCATTAGAGGCCCCATATCGGAATCTTGCTAAGGCAGGAATCAAGACAGCATTTACCCTAATCAAATCACTCTGTGTCAGTTTATGTGTTGTAGTGCACGTGGATTAGGTTCAATTATAGTACGGAAACAAACAAATTTAGCTACATCTAGGATGACAGAACCTGCTAAGTTAAATAACGTAAGAAAGTTGTGTGAAGAGAGAGACTAATCTCTGAATCTCCCTTCATCGAATCAATATCAAACACGGGTAGTCTGAACAATTTAACTTCTGTACTTCATCTACGGAAAATCGCAGTAAAAGCAATAGGAAGTAAGGTTAGGGCATATTATGGCATATTATGAAGTCGTTCTGCTGTTGTTATTAGTTGAATTTAACTTAAGAAGCTCTGGAAATCACATACCCATTGACAGTGTTTCCATCAACCGTGTATACTGTGAGATTAGCTTCGATGTAACAATACTGGGAGTTAGTCTCATTTTGTCACAACGTATGCCTATAAAATAAGCTTGTGACAGTTTTAGAGTAGTGTAAGCAACCTTTTACTAATAAACATTTCAAAAATCTGCTTTCCAATTTGTTTAAATCATTTTCATTCCTCAGACTATTTCGAATCACTAATTAAAGTGTCCTATCCTCGCTTGGATGTTCATTTGTGGAGGATATTGCATACTATGGGGCGATTAATAAATGAAATCTTGACCTGGTCATTGCCCCCCACAACCTCAACAATAGTTCTTGTCGAAACATTAGAATGAGCAGTGGTTTGTTTTGGGAGATTCTTAGATGGCTGGATTAAAATGTTCGAGGTGGATATATTACCAAAGTGGTTGTCTCCATTTAAGTTATTTCAGCTTCTAAAGATTAAGATAAAAGTCTTCATAGTTGGTTATCTTATGTATTTATCACTAATTCGTGAGCTGGTGGCACAGCAGTAGAATGGTCGCCAACCATGCAGGTGATCCGTGGTTCGGTCCCTGGCCACAGACGCACTCCTTTACTTGGCTATGCCAGTATTAAGACTGGTAAAGAGGGAAGGTTGAGCATGAGGAAGGCTAGCAACCACATCCCATAAAAATAGACGCCACTGCTACTGAAGCCTCAAGCCTATAGCTTGAAGCCTTATGTCCCAAACATTTTTCATTAATTCAGGGAATTAAAAGGCAGTGTAGTTATCTTAATGTCAGTGGTTTCTAACTCACCGTGAAACAGTTGGAGCAGGCCCATATGTAATCCACTTATCATCACTATAGTTACTTTTAACAATTATTTCGATGAATACTTTTTTTAAAATGGATATCCACTCTTCATGTAGTTATTATGCATTACTCTAGACAATAGATCTCCGACCAATCAGTCACAAATCGAATCGCCACTGTTGTAATCGACATCTTCAGCAACTGCATAATACTTGCTACACCTAATCTACGATACAGTGTGTATGCTATTAGATGGTTGAAGGCAATCAGCCACAGGAAGCCTTGCTTGACCTATGATTCGTGTTAGTTGGCACTTACCAGTCAGCAAGGCGTATCTGCGACCTTGAAGGAACGCATGTCCCTTCTGAGATCCGAACCCGCGTTGTCACCCAGTGCTGAAGTCAAAGACGTTACCACTGAGCTATTCGGGCTCGCCGACCATGCACATGGTCCGGGGTTCGAGCCCACGCCGGCGCACACCTGATATCTATGGTCGGCCTGCAAAATTTGGGCTACCGATATCCATGCTGAAAATTCCATACTTGTACCAAAAATACGGTGTGGAATCAAGCTGTAAATCAAAAAAAAAACCTTTAGGGCTGTAGTGAATATTTTGATTTGACACTAGTAATTAGTGTGATGTGTCTAGTCCTTTCTCTGGTGCAGACTGAATTCTGTCAGTCAGTCAGGTTGTAATGTGGCCACCATTCTAGGCAGCTCGCTATCAAGGTGCACGTTGATTTGATGATATCAGATGGTTGGAGGCAATCGGCAAAAAGCCTTGGACCTAGGTTTCGTGCTAGTTGACACTCGTCAGCAAGGCGTATCTGCAACCTTGAAGGGACTCATGCCCCATCTTGTGAGATTTGAACCCGCATTGTCACCCAATGTTGCAGTCAGACACGTTACCGACTAGTATCCAATCAAAAATATTCAATACAGTCCTACAGGAGGTCAGTAGCGAGCCCAAATAGCTAGCTCAGTGTTAATGTCTCTGACTGCAGCACTGGGTGATGTGAGTTTGAACGGTAGTAGGGACATGAGGTCCTTCAAGGGTGCAAAGACCCCTTGCTGATTAGTAAGTATCAAATATCACGAAACCTAGATCGAGCAAGGCTTCCTGTGATCAACTGCCTCAAACCATCTAATATCAACAGTTTACAGAGCATCACGATAGCGAGCTACCTAACATGGTTGCCGTAGGGAAATAAGGTAGGTTTATTCACAGACATCACTGGATAACCAGTTATAGTCAATGACATCACAAGCTGTGTCAGCTATGTTGTCTTGTTAAGAAAACTGCACATCTGTATACATCATGAAGTGAACCTTATTGGTGTGCAATTATGTTTCTCCATCATACTGAAGCCTTACCAGTTACCGAGTGAGTATAATACCTTTTTTATGTAAATAGTATTGTTCAAAGGTCAATAAACGTTAGAATACAGTCAGTTTATTACAGTGACATAATCATATTCTACTTTAAAAATATTTACCTCAATATCTTATTCAGCTGAATGGTGTTGAGAGGTGATCCCTTCGTTATCTTCAGGTACACTTGCTGCTTCAGAGGCCTTCCCTTCGGCAGTATTCTCCGTATCACGTTCTTCTTCATTGGCACTGCTCGTACTAAATGTCGTTTCTTCTTCATGCATGGTCGGCAACTCGACAGAATCAGTGATCAATTCAGCTGCTTCATTAACAACAGATGGACTATGATCTTCTTGAATAGAAAAAGAAGCGTTTTCTGTTGTTTCGTCAGAGAATTCTTCTGTTTGAGACACATCCTGTTTTTCAGGCTCATTTAACTGTGAAAAATCACCGTCTGTAAGTTCTGTCCTTTGAACTGCACTTTCTCCATTGGTTTCGGTTAATTCGGCATCACTGTCACTGGGAAGTGGAGTTTCTTCTGCTATTATTTGACTGCTATCCTCAGGACTACTTAACATTTTATGGCTAATTGTCTGAGCTTTACTATCGATAGATGGAGGTACATGGGTTGTAAACTGAGGTATCGAAAAATCTGATTGTCCTTTGTATTCAAAGATATCGTCTCCAGGTCTCAAAGTGAGCATGTTTATCACATTAGGATATTTTGGCCTAGACTTTGCATACAGTGGTCGTAGTCTATGTGGATGAATTTGTCGTTCAGTCTCATTGAAAGTTAGCTGTAGAATAGATTTAACCACTGGACAGAATGTTACAGCCTGTTTCCAGAAATGATGATGCGTATTTTTAAAGAATGGTATTTCATCATATTTAACTCCATAGCATAGATAGGCAAACTGAAACATATCATTTTCTTCTTCCTGTGTCCAGTTACCTATAGACAACAAGTTGTCGTATTCACCAATACTCTTCGGGTTTAGTTTAAAGATATAACTTTCTTTATAAGGACCCATAAATTCAGGGATATAAGTGCCTTCACCCAAATCATAAATATATTGAATATATTTTACGTTGTAATAAAAATTTCTTGGCGTTCGATCTGACCATAGATTAGAAAAATCGCCTAAAATGTGTACAAGAGAACATAGGAATTAAGTACAGATACAAATTTGCTATATGTATAAAAAAAATATATATTAAAAAGGCGGTTGCAGCAAAGAAAAAATTTTCTTTTCGATGAAGCCATTAAATAGACTATACATTCGTGTATTTTTGATAGATGGGTGGGAAAGTTCCGGAATTATTTCTGGTTAATGGTCAAATCGGTGCGTCGGTGGCACAGCGGTTAAGACGCTTGCCGACCATGCACATGGTCCGGGGTTTGAGCCCCGGCCGGCGCACACCTTTACCTCTCTAAGCCAGTAGAGAAACTGGTAAGGAGGAAAGGTTGGGCATGAGGCTAGCAACCTCTTCCTGTAAAAAATCAACACTGCTACGGAATCTTCAAGCCTATAGCTTGGAGCCCTATGTTCCACTGGGAACGTGAAGGAAAAAAAATGATCAAATCAATAAAATTGAAATCAGGATTTAGGAAAATTCATCAACTTTCAAAGCAGAAAGAGGAAACTGATATACGCTCTTTCCTCAAGGATTCGGAAGTTATGCAGCTAGGAAGTGATTGACGAAGAACTGTGTAGTCTTTGAAGAATCCTAATGGAAAACGGCTTTTCCCCCAGGTTCATAGACAAGAATCTAAAAGCAGAGAAGTCTTACGAAAAAGTCCAATCCGTCCCGAAGAAAATACTTCTGCTTTATCTACAATTTAAAGGTGACATTGAAGCAAAAATCCTTCGTGAACGCCTCTCCAAATCTCTTAGGTAAACATACTTCACCGTGAGCCGACGACTGACGTTCGGCTAGAACGCGAAAGACAAGCTGTCACATTGAGCCACTTCAACGTGCATATACCAGTTAACTTGCTCTTGCGGAGCTACGTACATCATTCGTACCATGTGCCCGCTCGGAAATGGTTCTCGTGGACACTATCCAGCCTGGCTAATACAAGAAGAATGAAAACGGGTATACTGAACTGTAGTTGAGCGATAGAATATCTGGTTAATTCAGGACATTCAGTGAGATTCGAAAAATCCTTCAAAATAATATACAAGTTTCGATCAAACCTATCAAAGGGAGTGAAATAAAGATATCTGGGCAAAGCCGAGTCACTAGCTTTCCAAAAGCTCAAATCCACGCTGTGTATCTAAAAGAAATACGTCCAACCCTTGACCCTGCAATGACTACCATAAATAGGTAATTCTTCTTCTAATAGTGACTAACCCATTGACTTTCTTATCCAAACTTCCTGTTTATTCATGTTATTTTTAAGTTTTCTTAATCCCTATTTACACTACCATATTTTCATATCCGAACTTCCTGTTTATTTTGTCATTTTATCATTTATACATATTTAACCCCTGATTGCATGAGGGAAATGTGAAAATAAAAATAAGATAAATAATGATATCAGTGATAGTGATAATATTAATAATAATGATATCATTATTAATAGAAGTGACAACATGCATGTCAAATATGCACAAGACAACGTCAACAATAAAGAATCTCGGAAACCTTACTCATAATTCTTGACAGGACAGCAAAAAAAGTGACTGACATTCAAGCCACCGATGTGCTTTGTCAGTTAAAGAATCCTCTCCTATGGTGCCAAAAAAACAAAATGATTTAGTTTATCTAATACCCTACCTGCAATGATTGTCAGGTTAATTACATAGGTCGAAGTAGTAGAACAGGTGCAGCCAGACTAGCCGAGCATAAAAATCTAGCAGCAAAATCTTGATTAGTTGACCCGAATAAGATAAGAAATCTAGAGAATAGTTCAGCTGCAGATGACACCACATGCAAATACATACAACAATACAATAGGATGGGATAAGATGACAGTTTTTAAATCTAATATCACAGGGTGGCGGGACAGATTGATAACTGACTGAGGCTTTATTTATCGAATCAACTACAAACACGTGTATTAGGAATGATTCAACACCTGTCTAGGCAGACAACTGGAATATTCTACTACCCCAACGACGACAAACAGGAGAGAGCACAGAAAACTATAAAACTCAAGTTTCGAAGTCGTGTGATTATAATTCATACGATTATGAACAATAATAGATTGTTTGAGTAAGGCATAAAGAAGACAAATTTCGCGAGATGATATCGTCATTTCGTAGTTTCTTTACAACCGCTTTACAACTAACATGGTTAACAATGATAAAATAAAGTTCATGAAAATTACTCAGTTAAATAAAAACAAAAGTACATACTAATGACCAATCATATTAAGATAGGTCATGCAGTCCAGGGTAGGCGAAGATTGAAGTCTATTGATTTTTGTACACACAGTTTAGGCTGTATGTGATTAATCCAAAGTGCTTCCATCACCTTCAATAACCTTGAATTAGAGTTATGTGAAATAATTGTGAAACAGTCATTAATATTGATTTTGTGACCAGACATTAATAAGTGTTTTGCAATGGATGATGCTGGATTTCTATTAAGATTAATCGCGTTAGGATTTTCGATATGATTTACTAGCCATTTTGGAACATGTTCTTTTCGACGACATTGGAACATTCTGTTAGTTCTACCTATATAGGTGTCACCGCAGCTGCAGGTGAACTTGTAGATACAGTTTGAAGTAGAGTCCACAGAATTTCGTCCTTTAATCGTAGGTACAGGGATCGAAAATGTTCGGCAAGTGAGAAAAAGAGATGCGGCGTAGAATGTGCGTTTGATGGCTGATCGAAGTCTTTGAGCTGTCAACTGCATAATCTGGTCGCCCTTGAATGGTAGATTAATAAAGATAGCTTTCTTTGGTACAGAAGCTGTCTTTTCAAGATGTGGTCTATCCTTACCGTGACAATTGATGAAGTTTTCTGGATAACCATTGGCTAGTAAAACTGAATGTATATGTCGAAGCTCATCCATCAATGTGTCACTCGTACATATTTTTCGAGCCCTTGAGAACAAACATTTCACTAGGGAACGTTTATACTGGATAGGAACAAAACTGGTAAAATGAAGATATTGTCCACTCCACGTCTGTTTACGAAAAATAGAGCGCTGAATCGTTCCATCATTTCTCCTAGTCATAGTAATATCCAGGAAACCGAGTTTGTTATTGGATTCTAGTTCGGAGGTCACTCGAATATTTGGATGGATATGATTAAATAGGGTGATAAAGTTTTCAATAGATTTGCTATTATTACTAATAATAAGAGTATCATCTACATAACGTTTATACAGCATAAATTCTCCAAGCATACCTTGCATTTGTTTCTCTAATTTCGACATAAATATATCTGCTAACAGGGGCCCCAGAGGGCTACCCATTGCAACACCGTCGATTTGTTTGTATGCTTTTCCTTGGAATGTGAATCGAATATTTTCTGTACACATTAAGATGATGTCTTTGATGTACGTTACAGGAATAGGTAAGTTTATCCCGTTGCTTGTGATGTAGTCGCAAATGAAATCAACAGTTTCTTGAAGGGGAACATTGGTGAATAAAGATTCTATGTCAATTGAACACATAACCTTTTCCTTAATGTTCAAGGTGTCTAGCATTTCTGTAAGATCAAATGAACTTTTTATAGAATGATTTGATAATGAGTATCTTACAGGCGTAAGGACCTCTGTAATCTAAATATGATTGGTCATTAGTATGTACTTTTGTTTTTATTTAACTGAGTAATTTTCATGAACTTCATTTTATCATTGTTAACCATGTTAGTTGTAAAGCGGTTGTAAAGAAACTACGAAATGATGATATCATCTCGCGAAATTTGTCTTCTTAATGCCTTATTCAAATTTATCAAAGGGACTAATTGTTTTAAATAATAGATTGTGTTAGCAATATTGTCTTCCAGTTAATAACAATATTGTTTCACTGTGTGATACATCTAACCAACAAATTAATATGGAATTACTTAGTACTATAGTGCCCAAGTTTTGCACATATATATTACAATAAGATCATTGTTGAATACAAAAATTATCAACATACCATTGGTCATGATCATGTGACTGGCGAGTCTGAAAATTAAATAAAAAAGGGGGGGGGGTTAATTATAGCAAGATGGTGTTGTAGGCCAGTAATTCGAATCTTTGTAAGTAAAACAAGACGTTATTCTAATTCTCTAAAATAATTCTTTGTCAAGCAAACGTGTTTTTCACATCTGTCCTTTCTCAATTCATGATTAATATAGAAATCCTTGCTTCAAAAGATAGAATGTGAAATATAGTCTCGCATTTGAAGAAGAGAAAGTGAATTTAAAAAATTCAAATATCTGGACAAAGCACTATGCAGACGTAATTTATCTGAATCGTGTAATGTATTCGCGCAGAAATCTGATCACACAGACCAACTTCTCATAGGATTATATTTGAAATTAGCATGTAGTCAAGAAGTGAGAAAATAAATTTAGGTGAAGGTAAAAGGACTACATTGAAGGTCAAAATAATAATATGAAGATCACTAAACCAAATAACAGAAGTAATAGTACATCTGCTATGGTATCAAAACAAAGTTCACCAAAGAAGGTTTAGTGTGATGACGAATTGATACTTTGATGGCGTAAACGTGGTTTGAACTTTCTAATTGCTTACTAGGGCTTCCCCAACATTTAGGATGCTTCCCAAACACGTTTTATAGATAGGTTTAAAAGATCTGTTAACATCAATTTTATGTCCTGTCTCTATAATATGTTTCACTATAGATGAGCTAGGTCTCCTGTTATCACTGTTAATAGGTTCTGTAGATTCCATTTGTTTTTGGAGCCATTTTAGAATATGCTCTGAAGCCCTTACTTGCAGATATCGATGAGTCCTCCCTATATATGTGTGTCCACAGGTACATCCAAATTGGTAAATAAAGTGGGATGTGATATCATTTTTCACATGTTCATATGGCATCGATGGATATATTGACTTCGCATTTTCGATTATTTATTTTTTTTTTGATTACAGCTTGATTCCACACCGTATTTTTTGGTACAAGTATGGAATTTTCAGCTTGGATGTCGGTAGCCCAAGATTCGCAGGCCGACCATAGATATCAGATGTGCGTGGGTGTGGGCTCGAACCTCGGACCATGTGCATGGTCGGCGAGAGTCCTAACCACTGTGCCACCGACGTAGCTGCAAAGAAAATCTTTTTAACCATAGAGTTTAATCTTCGTCAGGTTAGAAAGTTACTATGGTCATCCGTATAGGGTAGCTTGATGTACACGTCCTTCTTAGGGGCGAGTTGTGGAGTGGGTCTTGGTGTTCTGACTACTTTATATCTCCTGATGAAGTTGTCTGGATAATTTTTATCAACCAGAGTTTGTGTCAACTTTCTTTCTTCTTCATCAAGTGTGTCTACTGAAGAGGCACCTCATTCAGTAAGGCTCTTTCGTACAGAACCCGGCAGAAACCGCGATAATTAAGATACTATTCCTGTCCATTCAAATTTCTAAATTTCACCTCTTAACGACTTAGTGTCTTTGAGTTTGCGTTATAAAAAACAATTTTAACCGACATGTTGTCAACTGATAGTTATAAGCACACTTGTAGACTTTTCACTACAAAGATGCCTTATGAAGCAGTTAAGATTCAGGTTACTAAACATCTAACCCCACAGTTAGTGGAAACTGTGGATTTAATTAAAAAGCAGCCCTGTCAAAAAGTAAGAAGATATAAAGATAATGATTTGGAACAACTTTCAAAAGATTTTACATTTATGGCCGGTCATCTGATCTTGAGTACTGAGTGAAGACAGCTGTTCATGAATGTCTGTACTTTGTTTGGGTTGCCCTTCATGACGCACCAAGTCTCTAATCGGTACAGTAGCACTGACTTCACATTGGAGTTGAAAATCCGGATCTTATTTTTCATTCTGAGTGCTGTTGACCTCCACACAGACTTGAGAGAAATCAAAGCTTGTTTTGCTTTCCGGACGATCCTCGATTTGATTCTTCCCTCATCAGTTCCGTCCGCCTGTAGTTGAAACGATGCTTCCCAGGTAGGTAAAGGAGGTTGTTTCTTTCAGGTTCCTCCCATTTATTCTGTCTGATTGTTGTCTATTTTTGTTGTTGCTGTTGGTGTTGTCTAGAAATCTTCATCACCTCTGTTCAGCTGAAGTCCTATCTTTGATGCTTCTTCTGCCAGCTTGTTGCTTTTCATCTGCATATCTTACAGTTTGTGGGAAATCAGACATATATCATCGGCAAAGTTCAGATCCTCCACACTTTTTGTGTGAGTCCATTTTATGCCTGTTTCCTCGCTGCCCGTTGTCTGTCACATTATCCAATCTACTGCAATCAGGAAAATCATTGGCGATTGTAGACAGCCTTGCCTTACTACCGTCTTCACTTCAAAGGATTCCGTAAGTTTCCTTTTGTGGACTACTTGGCATGCAGCATTGTTGTACAATTGTTGGATGAGGTGTATAATTGTCTTTGGCACTCTGTAGTAGCGAAGTGGTTGCCAAATCACCTCTTGAACGAAGGCCTTTTCAAAGTCGATGAAGTTGAGATAGAGGGGTGACTGCCATTCCAAGCTTTGTTCAATGACAATCCGTAGTGTCGACCACAAAACACAGTCTTATGACGTCAAATGTAATATGCATTCATTTATGCGGAAACTGAAGAACAATATTAAGAACACGTGAACCAAACGTCTTCTGTTTGTAGTTTTTCAAATGGAGAATTCAAAAAATTCGTCTAGCAACTAGAACATGTCACACAAGACGTAGATTTCACTATTTGGTATATGGGATTTAAAGCGGTGTATGTTGGAGGAAAGAATTTTGGATGATGCTAGAAAAAGCAGCAACTGTTACTATTATTTGTTATGGAGTCTCACACAGAATGAATACGGACTATTCCACGGTATATTCTAGTTGGAAGCCGTGACCAGTAGGGTACAGAATGTTGAAGGTGAGGACAATTAGTCACCGAAGAAAACATTGCGAAGTGGTCACACTATCTCGTCAACTGGCAGGGACTTGCTGGTTGGCCATTGGATCAGGTCCCAGTGGCTACTGAATGGTCTACGAGCTCGCTAGCCTTGTGACCTAGAAGGTCCTAGGTTCCAACCCTTTTGTGGTAGGTGCGTGCTGACGTAGAGTCCTAGGCATTAGGACAAAACACCTGTCCAGTACTTCTTGTGGTTGGCTTTCCAATAGTTCTCTAACTGATCTCAGCTGATGAAATCCTCCAACGAATCAATCAAACTAAAAAGTCACTACAAAATACCAATACTTAAAAAGTAACCCGTGAAAACCTCAGAATAATTTATCACAAATAAACACAGAATTGAAATATTATACTCTTACCCCATCAAAGTGGCAACATGTTGTTTAACTGTGTTTGAGTAACTTCCAGGGATGTAAATACTTCCATCAGTACTCACAAGCGCATTGATGGTGCTGTATGTATTCCAAAAGGGTATCTCCATTTTTAATTTATCTTGTAGAAGGATAAACATCTCGCGTAGAGCCATGTCGTCAATCTGTTCATCATCACGTTTTAAATTGAAGTATTTCTGAGAAGATAAACATAAGATTAAAAGCATTTTTGGAAATGAGATCTACTCAACAAATGATACAAGTTTATTTAATTGAATTTCAAATTTTCCCATCGATTGATTTGACCGAAGTGCTATGTCTCAGGTTGACATATTTGTTGGCTTCTTGTTCACATGCCTCAGCGATGTCTGAGCATGTTATTAGTGACTAGCAGTGGAATCCACCAGGATGCGCATTTCATCCTAATTGGGACTAGTCAGCTGGATGTGCCTGCATTCCCCAGTGAGTACTGATTTTCCCACAGAGGCTGGAACACAGTGGCCATAGTTTCAAACTCCAGCCAAAGCGTTATCCACTAGACCATTTAGAACACGACAGCTGGCCACCTCTTGTACAATCGGTCATATTAATTATTTAATTGAATTTTTGATTTTCCCGTCGATTGACTAGGGAATGCAGGTACATCCAGATGAAGGGTCCCAAATAGGATGAAATACGCCTTGTCCTGGATTCCAATCCTAGTCACCATCCCCTAATTAAACGATGCAAGTTGTACAATAGTCAGTCAGCTCTTCTATATGGGTAAGAAACCTGGTCAGCGGGTCGCAAAAAGGATTTCCAACAAGGTACAGACTTTTATCAACAGCTGTCCCATCTGCTGACTGATTCCATACTAAAGATCAAATGGACAGTCGGCCGACGAGAAAGAATTAGCAACAAGAAAAACTGCAGTGGAACAAACCAACCGAGAACCGATCGTCAAACGTAAATTTAGGATAAAATGGAGATGGATAGGGCAGTCATTTAGGAGGCCATCGAATAACATCGCGCGCAATGCAAGCCATCGCTTGAGTAAAATCCGAATAGGGAACGACGAGTGTCTCGTCGGTGTGAGAGTGACATGGAGGAGGTTAATTGAGGGGGGGGGGGTTGAAGAGATGAGAGACTATGGGCAGCCATGAACCCAACTGAAGAGGACAGCAGAACATAGAAGAAAGTGTAGTTGTGTTGTTGAAGCCCTGGGCAAAGTTAAACTTTAAGAAACACTAAATGCCAAACTGTGATTGATCTCGAACGCATCAATCACGTGAAGGAGGCATTTTTGTGTTTGGGATACATTTATTTATGAGAAAATGTATAAAAACTGTACCCTCCTCTCTCATGTGATAAAAATAGCTCTCTGTCCTTGGTTGGAGTATCAACAGGGTATAATTCCATTGTGGATAAAATTTATTTTGATAAAGTCTCATAGTGTAATACAGTAATATTTACTGGGCAATAAAATTGTGCTCGAGACGTCACCAGTAAATGTTACTGTATAATACTGTGAGACTTAATCAAAATAAATTTTACTCAGAATAGAATTATACCCAACCACAGTGCACAAGTTCTATTCTTATATCAACATAGAAATTTGACCACATTCTAAGCATGGAATTATTTAGTTCTTCTAACCCTACTCTAACAATAGACCTAGTCTTTCCTGAACCTAACCCTAACATGAAAATATTCCAAAACTAGCTTTAACTCGAACCAATTCTATTGATTTATTTTATTCTTATTTTTGATTACAGCTTGATTCCACACCGTATTTTTGGTATAAGTATGGGATTTTCAGCGTGGATATCGGTAGCCCGAAATTTGCAGGCCGACCATAGATATCAGGTGTGCTTCGTCGGTGTGGGCTCGAACCCCGGACCATGTGCATGGTCGGTGAGAGTTCTAACCACTGTGCCACCGACAAAAGTCGTGATAGCGGAGGTGGGCCTCTGGTCTCCATAATTAGGTTAGTTTAGCCCTATCTTGTCTTTGGCTTAAAGAGTAACTTAATCTCTCCCAGACTTAAGCTGGAGCTTGCCAGCTGTCTCATTTAATATCATAACACTTCAATAAGCATATTTTATTGGTGATAACAACATTATCTGCCGGACTTCACTAACTTGCTCAGTGAGCGTTTCAAGGTCAATGATGCGGTCGCACTCCATTGGTAGTTAGTAGTGCTTAAAGTTTAACTTGGTCTGAGTCAGCCTAGCTTCGATATGAACATTTTGTTGAAACTCATCTACATGTGATAAAATACAACGATTCATTTGTGATCATTCTGTGACTTTCAAAAAATACATCACTTGACGTAGAGTGGTCTACACTCATGATCTGTTAAGTTGGTAGATGATGAGTGTGTGTTTTTAAGGTTTAGTCATACAAGGGCGTCGACAACAACTTGAAGGGGAACTGTATGGGAATGCACCTACTAACTGAGTTACTGAATAGTTTATCTTCGAATTCGCTAAGAATAAAGAAACGCTACGTTTTTCTATCCCTCTTGACTAGAACATCAAAACCCTCACTATGAACAAGCCATCACCAAACGTGATGATTTCTACGAAAATAGTCCGTCTTACCTTCTACATCAAGAAGTTAAGACACTCTGGAATATGCCAACCCTTACACTTACGATTCGTTAACTCTTGCATTCTGCCTATTATTCTCTGTTGTTCCCCCTGAATTTTTCCAGGGCTACTGAAGAAAGACTATATCTTATTACGTAGGATGTTAAAAGCTGTCAGCAGGGTAAGCACCGTGCCACTTAAGCAGCTTCTTAATATTGTGGTTGACAGGCACATGGACTCATGTGAAAAGTGGGCTAAATCCATTCTATCTATCTAACTCACATCACCCTCTTCATTCACAACTCTCCCCTTGTTGTATCTCATCAGGCAGGACCAGAAGCCCATATAGAAAACTATATGCTCGCATTAGCAAGCAGAAAAACTCAACCATACCCTACTTAGCTCGTTTTCTGTGAGATAAAGAAGGCATTAGGCGTGATACCTATAACTCATTAAATAGTCAGTAGAACAACTGGATCTCGTCCTTCCAACTCATATCATTTATAGGTACGACGTTTCCTTTCTTTGCTTTGCTTTTCTCTCTTTTTTTCTGTTATGTGCTGTTTTGTTTCTCTCTTCCTTACAAACTCTATTAAAACATTCTTCTTTCTTCTTTCACACTCTGTATATCTCGACCATTTTTTGTTACCGCTTACGCCAGTAAATATGGTAGCATCTACTTTTCTAACACCTTCAAACATTCTGTTCACTTTTGGCTTTGCTACTGACATGCTAATATATTGTTGTCAAAAACTAACTGAGATTACCCATAATGTATGTAGAATTTTATTTATCGTTAATGTACTAACTGGATGCAATACTGCAGTAAAAATGCTGAGAATTCCATTCTGTATCACAAGTACTGTTTTGGAATAAAGTAAGTTATCATTAGTAATAAACTACTTTGGTTTCTTTACCTCTATCAATGAATGCGAGTGGGCAAACGACTGGTAAGCTAAGCTAAATAGTTGGTCAACTTAATTAAATCAATATTGTGACTGATGATCAGTCCAGGTTTCTTTTTGCAGTAATTACTCATTGTGTTGTTTAAATATGTCAGACGTATACTTTAATGAAAAGCCGACTTGAGTTATTTGTATGTAGGCTTTTTGAATAGCGAATAATGGTTATCTCAACTCCTAATTACTAAGCGAATTCTGTCAGATGGATAAGCGATAGGTGTTATATAATACTTTACGGATCAATGTGATACATCTGGCCGCCTCCATGTGCATCTATCAGTTCACATGCTTTTGTGAAGCAAGGTATATCGGCCGTAGCCAGAGGACGCTTTCCACAAAGATACGAGAACATATTCCAGCTTAGTTTTACAAGGGAGAAAGGAAGTGTGTATGGGAAGCTGTATTTTCGAACACCTGATCGACTTCTGTCACTCTGTCAACCCTGACCATAATTTTAAGATCACCTACCGAATCCTTGCTAACTTCCCGAGATTTCTTTGTTATAGACTTCTAAAGACAGCTTAGGCCTTGGCCATCCACGACTTTAAGCCAGACCTTTGAGTACAAAAAGAAGCGTGTTCAACCCCTACTTTTGCCTTGGCCGTAGAGGGATAGGCATTTATTTATTTTGTTTATTTAGTTATTCTATGTACTTTTCCCTTATTACTTCGATTGTTATTATTATCATTATTATTATTATTACTATCCTCATTCTGGATCTTTTCCACTTGACCCACTTTTTATTTTTAAACCCAAAATTATTAATTTTTATACCTTTTATTTTTACAATATTGAATTCTATCGTGTCGAATTTCACACTATGCCATTTGACATTAAACTATGATTATAATCACAAATATTTTAATTTCATTTCATACTATTATTATTTCATGTATTCACACCTTTGACCTAATTCCCTCACCAGATATAATTTCCTTATAGAACCATACGTATACGATTGTACAGCTTGATAATAAGTTCCTTGAAAAGAGTCTCTTCGCTAAATATTGTGTTCTTAATGCTACAATGGGAATTATTAAATTATTATAAGTTCTTGAGACATTTGGTGTGGTAATGATTTGAAAATATTTTGTACATCTCGATAGGATTTAAGAAATTATCATGCATTTAATAGGCAGATCCGATCAATATTCTCAACTATAATAGTAATAACTCAATTACTCACAATAGAAACTCTATGGAGACATTGTTTAAAAAGTTCAAACACACTGTAGCACTCCACTGTTGAAGAGAATGCACGAAGAATACCTACTTACCGTCTTCAGAGAGAAGAATGGATATCCTGCTATCAACTTCATCAAAAAGTGTTTAAAATCGATTCACAACACCAACAAGAAGGCATCATCAAAGATGAAAAGAAAATTCATTCTATCATATATAAAAGAAGCCTTTGAAATAACAGCTAGAATATTAAAACCGTTTGAAATAGATATAACACATAAGCCAGCCAGCCAGTCAGTCAGCCAGCCAGCCAGCACATTCACACTTCATTCGATATTGTGCAAATTGAAAGATCCAACAGAAAAAGAAACAAGACAAAATTAATACCATTTACAAAATAAATTGCATGTATGAACTGTCACAGACATTATATCAGCCATAGTGGGCGTCACCTTCGAATCAGAATCCAGGAGCACAAATTAGTTGTGAGAAGACATGACATATATATTCTTTCATTCAGATGCATGGAGACAATCATGGATACCAATTTATTCAAGTGTTGGTTTGTAGGGATTTTATTGGTTACAGGATTTTCATCATGAGCTGACATTATTTAGAGAACCATTGGAAAACCTGGGAGTACTGGACAGCTGTTTCGTCCTAGTTTGGGACTCTTTAGCAGTACTCCGGCCCTGGGTTCGAAACCGGTGGGTGCCTACTGATGAAGAGTCCCAAACTAGGACGAAACAGTTGTCCAGTACTCCCAGGTTTTCCAGTGGTTCTCTAACTAATGTCAGCTCATGATGAAAATCCTAATACCAATTTAACTGGAATAACGTAGAAATTTTGAATGTAGGAAACACCAGAAGTGTCAGGGAATTTCTAGAAGCCAAGCCTGGTACTTAAGTGAGTCAACCAGCGATTAACGAACATGTTACTTACTATATAGACAAAATCTACCAACTAATAAAAAATAAATCACGTGATCAGCACAGACATGACTTAACCACCTATCACGACAGTGGTCGTCATGGTAAAGAGCTATAACATTCATGGAGAATTCAAATGCTTTCATTTCATAATAAAACCTGTGCAGAGGATTTTGTCCAGAAGAAGAGTAACAACAAAAGCTTCCACCGGTTGAATCAACCAGCTCGTCAGAGAACACACAACTAAACAATTCAGTGGCCTGTTAACTGTCACTGAATACTGATTTAGTGGGCAAGTTGAATAAACTACTGACCGAGAGAGTAACTGGTGAAATTGAGAAATGCCTTCACCTCTAAGACTGCATTTTGAAAGCCACTCCAACCAACGATAGAAAAGTTTTGAACTCGCAATTTCAACTTAGCATGGTATACTAGTTATTTTACATTTATATGTATATATATTACTTTTTTACCAAAAAGAGTAGTATATACCAACAGAAATTTGATGCTAATAATAACATCGGTTGAAGTATCAACATATAAGATATAAGATTCACTATTCAGTAGTAACTCACATGTTCATTAAGATTCAGACTTCTTATTGGTTGGTGTGGTGGTACAGGAGCATCATTCATGAGAGCATTATCGTCATCACCAGTGAGGTGAACTTTAGAAATAGCTTCGTGTCTATACCAAAACAAAATCGGTCATAAACAGAAGAAAAATATGTATTTGCAAAAAAATCAAAGAAATATAATTTTTGGGTAAAATTACTGTAAACTAAATGTTTGCAAAACTATGTAATTGGCGCTTCTGCTTTATGTAGTTGTGTAGTTAGAAACCATTCTGACATAAGCACAAAACTTCAGCAATGTGTTGTAGAGTTGAACTCCATTATAGATAAGATTTTATTTTAATAAATCACACAGTGTTTGTTGTACAGTAGTACTAACTGATGACCACGTTTCGGGCACAATTTATTGATGCTCATAATCATATCAAGGTACTGCTCACACAACTTCCTTGCTTCATTTATATAAATGAGTGGAAATGATTAGACATTTGAATAGAAATGAATATAGGATAATGTATATTTAGAAATAATAATAATATGAGTGCTATTGATCAAAAACAATCAGATGGGAAATAAGACGAGTGTTTTTATGGTCATAATAAGTAACTTCCTAGAATGTTGTGACGTGCTTGAATTGAAATAGAATTTTAAGATTATTTAGTATCCTCCTCTGATTCTACGAAGTAATATAAGTAGGTGGAGAGAGTTAGAGATAGACTGATTACTGAATTCTTCCTGGTTCATCGAGTCTACACCCAACACATGCAATAGAAGTGACTCAATGCAAATACCAGAAATATAGAAGATATTATTTCTGCCAGCCAAATCAGAAGAGGATAATAATTGATCTTAAAATTTTGATGTGGTTTTGTTCTCTGAGCTGGATGGTTAGTTTGCGAAGCTTTCATCGCCCTACTGGGTGACATCTTCAGCGCATACTTCAATTTGAAGTGAGCTTTTAGGTTTCTCCACGAGTTTATTAATCATTCTCCTGGTGACCTTGGACGTGATTGGTTGTTTATGTGTGTTTTCACACTTCTAGGTTACTTGTGTTGGAACTGATTGTTTCTGTGACTTGAACTTTGACCCTTTGTGTGTGAAGTTTCTTTCTTATTGGTTGACAAATTTTGTCTATCTCGATGTGTCTATTGATTGATGATTCACTGGAATGCCAAGCTTCCAAAAATTCTCTAGCATTCTTGTTATTTCCTTTGTCTAATATTTGAACGTTGTCCCAGTCGAAACTAACCATCCAGCTCAGAGAACAAAACCACATCAAAATTATCCACCTGAGCTACAAATCTTCTCTATCAAATCTTAAAATTCTATTTCAATTCACATACATTACAACATTCTAACAAGTTACAAATTTTGACTCCAAAAAAACACTCGTCTTATTTCCCATCTGATTATTGTATTTGATCAATAACACTCATATTTTTATTATTTCTGAATGTACATTATCCTATATTGATTTTTATTCAAATGTCCAATCATGAATTCCAGTCATGTATATAAATGAAGGGAGAATGTTGTGTGAGTGACATGATATGATTATGAGTGGCAATAATTTGTGCTCGAAACGTGGTTATCAGTGAATATTACTGTATAACACTGGGATTTATCAAAATAAAATCTTATCCATAATGACATTCAATCATTAAACTGGAGTGATTGGAATATCAGATGTCAGGTCTTTCTGTTCGTTTGACTTCTGTATTGTTGCGGTCCAGTCTGAAGGATAACTATACTTCTCGGATTAATATACTAGTAGTACTGGAGCGCTGTGACTGACACTGCGGAGGACTTAGAGCGTCCAGCCAATTAAATTGAATAATAACGCATAATGCAAGGCTAAACCTGAATGAAGTGAACCAGTTTCTATTACTGAAGTCATCTGTAGTCAAAAATTGTAGAGAAGTTTAACAGTCGGGTTTCGCCTATTTTAGCCGTCTCAGCCTCGAATATGGTTTTTCCAGAGACTTAACTTCATTTGTGGCATAAGCTTTAGAAGTATTGATACTTCTATTAAGTGTTTATCCTTACTAAATCTCCTTTTCAGTGAAGTAACCAATCAATAAGGGGTCGTTGATGGATTTGTAACAGACAACATTAGGCTATCGAAAATTTCTATTTGGGAAATAGTGAAAATATGAAAGGAGGATTTGCAGGATATATATTACTGTTGGGTGGTTCTGCTCCTTCCCATCACTCAGGTGTTACTCAGTTCCTTACAAACCTCACCGTGTTTGTAGTGAGAGCTGTCTGCTAGCCAAAATTGGTAGGCAGCAATTTACGTCAATGTTTACGTCCCATATATTGGTCATGAGAAAAAAAATAATAAAAAAGACTAGCTCAACAACCAATCACAGCAGATTTTGCGTGGGCGAATAAGATTAGCATACATATAGTCTGACCTTCAAACAACTGGCCACAAAGAGATGACAGAATAACTTTCAACCAAAAAACCACCAGTCAGAAGACTCTGGTCCTCTGCTAATAATAACCAATAATAATGTACATAAAAATCTATAAATATCTGTTGATTTTCTGAATAAGCGATCTGTTTCCTTGCCCTTGTCTTCTTTCGTTACATGTAACAAAATTTATAACTTAAAAACACATGTAGTTTGAATATGAAAAGAGAAACTTGTGCATCAAAACCTGAGCTAAATAAACACAAATTTCACCAGTTGATTGCACACAGGGTATTAAAGGTTGTCAGTAGGGCATGTGGTGTACCAGCTTCTTACTGCAGTATCTGACGGACACCTGAACTCAAGTGAGAAATGGTCAAAATCTACGTTATCTGGTTCTTAACACCCCCTTTAATCTCAGCCTCTCGCCTCTTGGATAGTATTGTGGAGGATCAGAAATCATCAAAAGAGATTATAGGCTCACACAATGAAGTAGAAAAACTCGGCGATACCCTATTTAGCCTACGTCCTACACGATAGAGATACCGTTAAACACGAAACCTGCGACTCACTATGCTATTAGCAGGATAATCGGTTATTTATTCTCTTCTATTTGTAATCCAAAATGCATTGGTGGTACGACGGTAGGATGCTCGCCAGCCACGCCTCATGTGGTTCTAGGTTCGATCCCCCGACCACTGGACACACTCATTTACCTCACTAAGTCAGTAATAAGACTGGTAAAGAGGGAAGGTTGGGTATGAAGGCTGGCTAGCAACCCTATCCTGTAAAAATAAACACCACTGCTATCGAAACTTCATGCCTCTAACTTGAAGCCCCCCCCCCGATGCTTCACTGGGAACGTAAAAGAATAAAATAGATAAACAAACTTGTAATCTATGCTGACACTATCTCAATTAACTTATAACTTTAGCCACTAACACTATCATTATTTTGCACATTTTGTACATTTATGACTTTACTGTCACCGCAAGTTCCAAAAAAAATCTGTCAGTATCAATCCTCTGGTTTGTTTTTGCTGTTATCGAGTAAATTAGATGCAATACTGTATCAGATGCTGAAAATTCCACATTGAATCATGAATGCTGTTTCGGAATGAAACAAATTATTGTTACTATTATAATTACGTCACCAAATCAACATCACCTACCCGATAGGCTGCTGTGGAAATTCCTTGACCTCTGGTGGTGTTGTAGTCGCCAATCCCGGAAGTGTGGAATCTTCTTCTTTCTTCTCTTCATTTGTTTCTTCCCCACTAAAGATGAAATATACAGTAAGTTAGGCTTAGACTTGACAAAAAATGAGAAATCTTTTACGATATCTTAAAAAAAATCAAGTTTATCTTCAATTTTTCTTTATTCCTTTGTGTTCCTTAGTGGAACATATTACTTGAAGGTGGAGGCTTGAAGTTTCACTGGTAGTGCTGCTTTGTCCACTGGATGGGATTGTTAGCCTCATCCCTAACTTTCCCTCTTTATAGGGCTAACTATCAGCTAAGCGAGGCAAAAGAAGGTGTCGGTCAAGGGTCAAATTAAGCAGAACGAAACTGATATTCACGAAATCAAACTATGATATTCCTAGCGCGGGTTTTATTGACATTCAACATTTAAGTAAGACTGTTCACCAGCAAGATCATGAAACAGCAAAGACAAGTACGCATAAATACTCATTATTTGTTAACTTTTACTAAATATGACGATGGGAACATCGTCGATTCTTCCTCCCACATCGAACCAAAGAGAAGGATAATTCTAGCTAATAGTTGAAATGAATGATAAAATGCAGACTAGTTAGGACTGAAATGAGACTACGTTACTGAGTGGCTTTGTACATTGAAAAGTTGAAATTACAATCTAGAATGGGAAGTCTTGTAAAGAGAAGGAGGATAGAGCCGTGACAAGATAGAATAAAGCATTTTCAAGCATAGAGTGTGAATTTTTCTTTCACTTCAACGTCTCTATGGGTCTAGTGATTTGACAAACATTCTGCACACTTAATTCATGCACTCGGTTATATATATTAGTAAGACGCCTTTATTCTAGTGATGTTGCGTATATGCACTCTTCATCAAGCTTTCCCTTGCTCTATAGATGTAATTAAGACTAAGTTGATTCCGTTAATAATACCACTACTATCACCAAGGTTCTACAAGTGGCTGACGTGTGATATGATCTTACATCTTGACATTATGATGGCCAGACTGTTGGAGTTTACGCGTTAGTATAGTGGCCGTGAAACTAATGTCGGTGTAAGTTTAATCTAGTGTTTGATTTCAGAATGCCTCATCCTAATGTGAACGGTCATCGTTGTGATAGCATTTCTGATAGCGGTTCTCTATTAAGTTATAGCCTCAGAAAATGAACATGCCTATGAATAGAGTGTTCATCCCCTAACTTATGTTTCACTACCTGTAATTTTGGATCAATAAGTGAGGATGGAAGTGCCCTCGAGAGTGAATCACTGTATTATTAAACGTGGTCAGTAATCCTAAGTATGTTTATCGATGGTTTATGTCTGTATGCCTAAACCAATAAGCGAGACTGACTTGCGTTAGTAATTTAGTAAGAGCTGTCTGCAAGACAACAATTTACGTCGCTGTTTACGTCACGAATCGGGGCCATAAGCAAAAGAAAACAATAACAAAGCCTAACCCTCATGAACTCACCAACTATTCACAGCAGTTTTAATGTGTGCAAATACGATTAGCAGATATATGGCTGAAGTGTCTTATAAACGGCCATAAAGAGATGACAGAATAACTTTCGGTAGGAAAACAACTGATCAGAGGAGATTGCTTCCCGTTAACAATAATGCACTTAAAAATCTATAACTAAATCTATCACTTGATTTTCTTAACAAGCGATCTGTTGCCTCTCCCTTGTCTGCGGTCGTTACAGTAAGAGACAGAAATAAATTTATTGGGATTAGTTGGAGGATTTCATCGAGAGCTGACATAAGGTAGAGAACCTTTGGAAAACCGGCAGTGGAGTACTGGACGGCTGTTTCATCCCAGTTTGTTAGGGACTCTTTGGCAGTACGCACCCACGACAGGAGGTTCGAACCCGTGACCTTCTGCTTACAAGGCTAGCGAGCTCGTAGACCATTCAGCAGCCACTCGGACCCAACTCGACCCAGTGGCCAGCCAGTCCATGAATTCTAACTTCTGCCAATTCACAACATAGCGCTACCACTTCGCAATGTCTTCTTCGATGAATAACTGTCCCCATCTTCAACTTTCTGGTCACGGCTTCCCACTTGAACCTCAGGTAACTAACTGCCTGTTGGCAGTGAGTATCAGAATAAATTTCAAGTATTGGTTTTTGTGGGGATTTAGTTTGACTGGTTGGCGGATTTCATCATGAGCGATTGGAAAATCGGCACTGGAGTCCTGGACAGCTGTTTCGCTCCAGTTTCGGAATCTTCAGTGGTATGTACCCACCGGGGCTCGATATTATCTGAAAGAGTCTTAGGTTGGCAGATTGATAGTGATGTATTACTTGAGAAACATTTAATTTTAAGTGACGAACAGTTATTATCAAATTTCTAATCAGAATCCAGTCATAGTGTCTGGAATAAATGTAAACGCACTCGTATAACATTGATGAGACTATGGGAAACGTAATTTGGCATTACAGGCCAGAAATTCAGTCATTAGAACACAACACAGATGGGGATGGTTTGATTCTTAAAGTGAGTCACTTTCACTTTCAAATGTCCCCCCCCCTCCAATAACCCGATTTTAACAAAACCTAAAATTTCGGTAAAAAAAATATCTCACCCAAGCGTTGATGAATTGGAATCTTCAGAAACGTCGGCATTTGATGCTTCAGGAGATACTTCAGTTATCCTTACATCAGAAAATGAAAATTTAGAGAAGATCAAATCAATAATTATCATTTTTGAAATTGCTCATTTCTCTTACACTGTTAGGTAAACTTTTAATCAAATTGAATAAATCTGAGAATATTGGTTTTACTACAAAAATAAAAGGAGAGAAACGTTTGCACCGAAAATTGTGCTTATTAAAAGCTCAACCAAATCAACATCACTTACTCGATAGTCTGCTGTGTATGTTCGCTGACCTCTGATGGTGTTGCAGTCGTCAACTCCGAAGGTGTGGACTCTTGTTTTCCCTCTTCTTCTCTACAAGGCATGTAATGAAACAAGTATTATTCATTATCTTGACAATACAAATAAGAGGATTTCAACGATATCCTAACAACAGTTTAGCTTACATTCAAAGGGAAGTGAACATTGGGGAGTAAGTATTACACCTCGTTTTAGGTTTTGAGTTTGTTCTGCGTATGTTTAAATGGAGATCTTTGAACTGTCTGACGGCAAGTGATCAGGTTTTGCTTATTCTTGAGTGCTAATACAGTTAGTTATTCACTTGCCGATTATATTATTCACTTAGAAGTCAATTTGCTTCTTATTCATTTACATTCCCAGTAAAACATAGGAGAGGAGGGATGATATATATCCATATAATATGTGTGTTTGTCTGACAGTCTGTATATTTGCTATGTATATATGGATCGATATTCCATTATAATTAGCCAATCATGTTAAGACTGTCTATTGATTTGTTCATTTTGAATATTCGCTCACGCACTTGTGTTCTCACACTTGTTCGGACATTCTTATATTTTGCTCTCACACACTTGTGTGTTATTGATTCTCCTGGTGTTTTGGAAAATAGAAGTATCATCGCAAACCTAGTGGTCTTCTGATTTCCGTCTTTCTTGCGTCAGGACTATTAAATTCTCGACCAGTACATAACAAGGGGGTTAGGCTAGAGGCTTGAATTCTTGGTAGCAGTGGTGTTTATTGCTTTTACGGGATGGGTTTGCTAGCCAGCCCCATGTCCAACCTTCCCTCTTTACCAGTTGTATTACTGGCTTAGTGAGGTAACGGAATGAACTGACCGAAGATCGAACCCCAGACCACATGAGGCGTGGTTGGTGAACATTCTACCACTGTGCCACCGACGTACACTAGAATTAAGTAGATTGGTCAGTTAGTCAACCTTTGAGGGAATTGAAAATGTTCCAAGTCTAGTGGAATTCCACCCTATGATTTCAAGTTGAAATTCCGGTGAATTTCAACAATAGTTTCCCAGAAGTGCGAATTCTTAAATGACCTTGAAAGCATGCTAGTCGTTAGTTGAAGAAACCTACGATTATTCATGCGCAAAAATGAATGCTGTTCATCTGCTGATGTGCAAATTTCATCCAGATCATGTATTTCAATACTGTCTGGATAATGGATTGATAGGACGTACTCGTATATGTAGCTGTGGTGCTTCAATGAAGCTGCAACCGTATTCACAGGTCATTGGTGGATATATATTCAAATGTACAGAGTGTAGGAAACGAACATATGTTCGTACTGGTGAATGACACTCTCAGTTAATTGTCTTCTAGGAACTCTCTTTGCTAAATTGAAGCTTTCTTTGACAAATATACTGTTTCTTTGCCATTACTGGATTTTTAAGTTTGGTGTGAGGTCAATTGAGGGTCAGACAGATAATACGTTGACGTATATTGTGCAGAAGTTTCAATTTGTCGAGATTAAACATCATGGAAAATGAACAATATTACACGAGTTTTGGGAGGCGTCGGTGTTGTCGTTCATATCGACGAAACGGAGAAATACAATCGCAGATGTGCTAGAGTTAATAACGTTTGAGTATTGGGAATTTATGACACCTAAATTCAGAAAGGTGCATCGGTGGTATAGCGGTTAGGACGCTCACCGTCCATGCACATGGTCCGGGGTTCGATCCCCGCCCCACACACTCCTTTACCTCGCTAAGCCAGAAATAATGCTGTTAAAATTAGGGGTTTGGCATGAGGATAGTAACCCTATCCTATAAAATAAATACTGCTACAGAAACTTCAAGCCACTAGCTTGAATCTCTATGTTCAGCTGGGGAAAGTGAAAGAAAAATTCAGAAACGATTCACTGAACTTATTTCAGACAGGATTGCCAACACTCTTCTGCCCATTATTCAAAGACTCCTTTTATCTGGCACTACTATACACATAGATGAAGGGGCACGATATAAATGATTATCGGATTTAGGATATATACACAACCGAGTTAATCATTCTGATGATTTCGTTGATCCCAGAACCAGTACTTATACTAATTCTATAAAAGGTTTCTGCGGAAGATTAAAAAGTAGAATAAGAACAATAAATGGCTCTCAAAACCAAGTTATTTTTCAAGTCACCTGGATGAATACATGTATAGAAATTGGTATAATTTAAAAACTGACACTCCCCACTATAATTGGGACATATTTTTTACCTCAGATTAGAGAAAAATACCCTGTTTAATGTTTTTTCATGTCCTTTTATGTAAATATACGTAATTTTTTGTGAAAAAACCCTTCATTTTTTTCTGATTGGTCGGCTCAAGGTCACTCGTGCGTTTGTACTCCTTTGGAACGATATTGTAGAACTTTGCCCAATTTTCTACCGAAGCAATAACCCTGATACATTTAACACTGAAGTATTGATCAGCGTTGTAAACCACATCAATTTATGTGACGTAGATAATCTCAAAAGATTCACGTGTTCACCAACAAACAAAATGCACCAGTAGTCAGTTGACTTCCATCCAATCACTTTTAACCATGAATGGAAGTGATTTATCTTCTGTTATGTGTATTAATCATTACTGTCATGTAGTCTATTGGATTGACTTTATTTTACATTGATTTCCTGCATTTAAATATACATTGGAAATGCATTTCTCTATCACCACTGACATTCCCTGCGGTAGCTGACAAGTCGACAATCTACGATCTCTTATAAATCTATGACACTTGAGTTCACTTTGTTAGAATTTAAATTAGGAATACTTAAACTTTTGCTTGCTGAATTCGATGCTGAATGTGACATTATAAGTGAACAACGCAAGAATGGGAAATTCGTATGGTGCAACTGTTTATTATTCGTTGACTATGAGCAGTTTTCCGCTTGATTTCGATTCGTAGTAAATCCGTCCATGAGATGTTTCAAAATACAGGTATATACGTAGTCATAATCCTATGATGAGACCTGTAGTTGTGTAAAGCTGATCTTTGCTCTGTATTTTGAATTCTCACAGACTGGATTATACACCAGACTCAAGGGGAGTGAGGAGACGGGAATTGGTTGTACCGATTAGAAGACTCCAGAAGATCTGGATTTCGTGCGTGGATGATTTATGTTCAATATCACACGAATTCGAAGACTTGTAGGCGAAAAACAACAGACTGGCTGAACAGATCAACCGCGAAGACAGGACTCGTTGTGAACACAGAGAAGATGTGGGGGGAGGTTGCTGAAGACAATAAACCAACCAACCAACATCAAAAACAACCAGCACAAATCACCGTCAACGGCAGAGATTTGACAGTGGTTACTTCCTGAGCTTGTCTAGGAAGCATGATTTCAATCAAAGGCGGTGGAACGGATGGAGGTGTCAAAGACAACCAAAATCGGAAAGGCAAAGTGTGCCTTCATCAACCTCAAATCAGTTCGAATATCTTCTGTGCTCCGCCTCACCATAAGAAAGCAAGAATAGGATTTTCAATACCAATTTCAAGTCAGTCAGTCAGTCAGTCAGAAACGTGGCCAGCGTGTCACGAAAAGGATTTCCAACAAACCGCTACAGACTTTTATCGACAGTACCCAATTTGTTATCTGGCTCCATACTGAAGATCTAATGGCCAGCCGGCTGAAAGGAAAGAATTAGCAACAAGAAACACTACAGTGGAACAAACCAACCGAGAGCCGATCGCTCAACATAAATGTAGGAGGAAAAGGAGACGGATTAGACACACTCAGGGGAGGGTGTCGAATGACATCGCGCGCATCGCAGGTGACCACCCGAGTGGAATCCCAGTGGGAAACGTCGAGTGTTTCGTCGGTGTGAGGGTGACATTGGGGAGGTCGTTTGGGAGGGGAGGAGTTGGGGGATTATGAGCAATCGTGTGGTTAGCCAGCTGAAGAGGCGATGTACTGTTGAAGCCCTGTGTTCGACTCGGAACCCAAGGGAATAATAATCGAGTAATAATAGTATGCTTCACCCATCTCCATAAAATGTACCACATCGTTTCAAAGAAAGCCATTTTGAATAAGCATCAGCAAGGTAGACCCTTTGCAAGTATCTGTGTCTATTGAACTTACGGTCTTTTGGCTGTTTTTCTAATTTCTGCATATATGAAATCTTCTTAAATGCCTAAATGTCTAACACTTATTATTTTTAGTTGAATAACTTTATTGGATACTTTCCTGAATGTCAATTAGCAGTTCAGATGACTGAATTAACAAAACTGATATCAATACTGTGATAAGTACTCACTTCTAACTGCTTTCAAAGCAGAAGGAAACATAATTGACGCATTCAACCTATCTGAGAGTGATGTAAGAATATAAAGTGGTTGAGAATTATTTCTTGTATCCCAAACGACATGGTATAAAGAAAATGATAGTCAACCCTTTTAATATGTGTCAGTAAGTATGAACGATTGATTATCTTGGCGCATTAAATAAATCATTCTACTGTGAATATACTGCATATTCAGCTAATTTTAAACTTAATGGCTACATATTTTAAAATTATAACAGAAATAAGAAATACTAATCAAATTAGTTGACGTACTCATTTGTGTTGCTTGACTGTTGATTGATTTCCTCTGTTACAGTGGAATTCAGCTCTTCGTTGATGGAGTGAACTTGTTCACTAAATAAACAGTGAGGAGGCGAAACAAACGAAGGGGAAAAATGAGGATGAAGCGAAGAACATGCTGGACAAATTCAAAGAGGTTCATCCTGCAATCAACTTTACTATTGAGAAAGAATAAGATTCTGGTATTTCATTTCTAGACGTCCTTATGAACAGAAAAGAGGATGGCACAATAAGAAGACGTGTATATAAGAAAACCTATATCAACAGGTCAGTATACTCATTTTTACAGCTTCGTACCCTTAAAACACAAACGTAATCTGATAAAGTGCTTGGTTCACATAGCAAGAGCGATCTCCTTGAATGAGTGTCTTGATGTGGAACTCAATAATACTAAAAGGTTGCTGCTTGAAAATGATTATCCAGAAGAGTTTACTGGTAAGAATATGAATCTAAATTGAAAGCAGTCTGAGGTACCAACAATTCCTAAAAAGACCTTATTCTTACAAATTCAGCTCCTTGGTGACAACACGAGCGAGATACTAACACAGCGTCTTGAAAATGCAGTAAATAAAGCATTCCGTGCTGTTGAATTACGCTGTGTCTTGAAAACCAACCCTGTCTAGTATTCGGGAGTAAAAGATGAACTGCCTAATTTCGCCTCTTCCATGTGTATCCACCAGCTTTACTGCTCCTGTGGAGTGAGCCAGTTACACAGGCCGTAAAATTTGGCGGGTTTCTCGCCGGATTTCTGAACAGGAACCTGAGTGGTTAAGTAAGAGACAAACAAGATCTATTTGCAGCGTTATTTTATCTCATCTTGTGAATACAGAACACAAGAACGATGTTAGCGAGGCTTTCAGAGTCATTTGTAAATATAACTACTTCAGCTAAGTATAGATCACAGATCGTGGTGTGATGATGAATCTGATTTCGGTAAAGTTCGACAATAGCGTCCCATGGATGCAAACGTACGAGTGGACTTGAGGGTGACCAATCATAAAAATGGCGAATTTTCGCAAAATAAAGATGACGTATATTTACGAGAAAATGCATGAAAACGCATTACATAGGTTATCTTTCTCTGACAAAACTTAATAAAAATATATCCTAGTTATAAGGGGGAGTATCAGTTGCTAAGTTAGACTAGTTCCTCTAAATGTATTCACCAAGTTGACTGAAGATGAGCTGCTTTTGTGAATGGTTTATCTCTTTTATCCTCATATGCAGTCCTTCTCAAAAGCCATCGGTTGAATTACTATGGTTTTGAAGTAAGAGGATCGACAACCACTTACCAGGAAAATATAGATAATAAAACAAATAAAAATAAATTACACCAACTCTTAATCTATCCCCAATCGGGCGAAGTTAAACTTTCGACACCACTACCAATCAGCGAATTATCCAATGAGATTCACGAACGTTATCGAATTATCCAATGAGGTTCACGAACGCAGTGCTATGTTTTATGGCGCTTGATTCATTTCTAATGCGTGACCTTACAAACCTATTGTTGCAATTCGCGGAGGTTAGCGTTTTCCAGTATTTCCTGGATTTGAGTTGCGCCGGAAATAGCGAATTTGTTTGTGTGGTGGTATCACGACTTTAAAAAGCTATACCAAATCAACTGATGGGTTTGTTCATCGTTGTGCTATATGTTTGAAGCCTACTAACGCTAGAGAGAGTAAGCTGATAATTTTAATATTTCGTAGGAACTTTTTCGCTAGGTCGCTTCTCTCCCTAAGGATAGCAGATAGAAAAGCAACTACTCTTATACCTATTATTACCAGACAAGTTAAGCGGGGGTCAATTATACACACCGACGAGTGGAAAGGCTACAATTCGCTGTCATCTCTGGGATATATTCATCATAGAGTCAACCATTCAAGTGATTTTGTGGATTCCGTTACGAGGACACATACAAATTCTATTGAAGGATTTTGGGGCAGGTTGAAAAATAGGATAAGGGCTATAAATGGATTTCAAAAGGATCTCATTTATGGTCATTCGGATGAATATATGTGCAGGATATGGTGTAACTTCTTTTATTGGCAGTCCCATGCTAAACTGGGAGATGTTTCTCTCACATGTTCAAGAAAGATATCCCATGTAACTTTTTTATTCTCTATTTTATGCTTTTTTCTACAAATATACATTTCCATTCATCATATATGCCTCTTTAATGTGACTGGTCCGTTCAAGGTCGTTCGATGATTGGTTGTTAGTGGTATCTAAAGTTTAACTTTGCCCCCAATCGTAACAGTTACTCTAATTAAGACCCTTATCCTAACCGTAAACTTAACCCTAATCTTAATTAATGACCCTGATCCTAACCCTAACCCCAATACTTATATCAACCCTAATACTAAGTGTAAGATCAATTCAATTCCCATCCTTGAATCAAGTCAACCTGTCCCGGATCAGCCTAGCGTTGTTGCAACCCAATTATCCATGCCTAATGTGTCTATCCCCCCTTGTTTAATAAACTGTGTGTATGTGTTTTTACCTCGATCCGTTTAGTCAGACAGTTGAACTCATGGCCCAATCAGAGTATTTTGTGAACTGTTATTTTTACTGACCCATGTCTTACTTTGTACTATTCTGTCGAGTTTATCTTATTTATTGATCTTCATCTGTATCAGCCTACATGGTTAAGTAGCCAATTAAATTCTATCTTTGTGCCTATGCTTTGTCTATCTCTTTAAACGCTCTCTGTTTTATGCCATGCCTTACTTGGGTTCATTCTTCTACTGACTGCTTACCTGAACGGTCGTGTCTGATTTCGGCTAGTTTGCAATTTTGGCTTTAACGTTATTCCGCTCTGATAGCAGTACCTTGCTTTCTGTTAAGCGTTGTGCTTTGTACTCTTGAAACCGTTAAGGTTGGTTGTATATATATAATTATTGATTTGTTTATTAATTGTACCGTAGAAACAGTGACCGGCTTCTTGTTTGTTCTGGACCGGGATAGCCTTTATCTACGCGTGACTGAATTTCAAGCGATATTGCGCTTACACTAACTCTAACGAGCTATTGACACATTTTCCAAACAGTACTTAAAAACGCGATCTGAATTTTTCTCTAAACTGGTTATCTTGGTGGTTGGGATCAATCATTCTAATCTTAGCGAAATTCTTATGTTCTGATAATCTCACTACTCCTGGTCTACTGGTCTGACTGACCTATATAGTTGACCCAACTCACAGTCATTGCAAGGCATTTTGTAAAGTATATTATTTTGTTTAATTGCGTCGACCTACATGGTTATTTAGTCTACAGAGCTTGTCTGACTTGAGTGAGTTTTTAGGTTAGAATGCCAACCTAACTCCTGCTTTATTAAGAATCCTAAGTAGGGTCTCAGATGTCCCCTCCTTAAATGGTAAAAACTACTGTAGATGCCTTATATTCTTTCTTATTTATGTTATCATTATTAGTTTATCGCCATCTTATATTGATTAATTTGAATGTCAAATCATCAACTTTTACTCGTATATATAAATGAAGCAAAAACGTTGTGTCAGTAGTGCCTTGATATGATGATTATGAGCGACAATTAGTTGTGCTCTAAACGTATTCATCAGTAAATATTACCTTTTGTATAACACACTGTGTGATTCACAGTGCCCTAGGTTTATATCAAGAACTGTTGTATATCGCCTTGAAAACATAATTATTCTATATTTGAATTGAAATATCATCTCTTATCTTCACTAACTTTAGTGTTTCAACTAAAACTACTACCCTTTGCACCACTGGCATTTTGATTTACAAACCGATATGCACTAGGTTGCACTACGTATCTAATTATCAAACAGACCTTCGGATTGTTGTTTAAGGTCAAAGTATTCTAGCTGATTACTTAAATTCTTTAGGTATTCAATTTATATCACCCGGTGATATTTATATTCGTGGAAATTAAAATATTGAGGTGTACACTCATTAGTTAATCAATCATTTTCAACGGTTCTATTAACGATTGATGACAAACTGATTAGGTTTTGACATAAGACACATATATTTGACAGATGAGTGATTGTTGGAGGAAATCTATGGGAATCTCTAGTCCTACGTTACGTGTTTATTCGTACTGTTCGACAAGGCGTACTACGAGCTCAAAGGGACTGATGTGCTGTTAGGGGTTCAAATATATGTGATGTATTGCTACATTCAAAGACATCCATCCCTACGAAGCTTTTAAACCTGTTGACTTGAGTAAATGTAGAGTTTGCATGAGGCCACAGATGTCATTAGTAGCATAACAGAACATATTTTCGCCCCTGTATTCAAATCAAGAATGACTTGGACCATTGTGTTTAAACACCCAGTATCTTCTTCATTAAATCAATAAGGAGGAACTGAAAAGTTAGTACTTTCCCCCACCCCTCTGTATATGTTTGACATTATCTCTTGTTAGCCAGTGATAACTCCTTGTTGAAAAAAAGAATGGCATAAGTCAGTGATTATAAACGATTATTACTCTTCTCAGATTCATTTAACTAAGCTTAGTCAAGTGTAGGAGGCTTAGACATTAGACGTTTTTCTCTCCAACAGGTGTAAAATGTGAACTTTCCATAACCAAGAGATCTAATACACCTGACTTTTATAGTTCTTGTTTTCGGCTAATTAACCAGCATTCAGCAACAGTGCTACTTGTGTAAATCTGAGGCATGTGCTGGTTAGTGTTTGACAAGATTAATAATTGTAACTTAATAAGTAAAATCGGTATAAAGTATGCAGCTCAGAAACTTGAAGACCTAGCTCGCTTGCTATTCCGATGACGTTCCTGACGTGAGGGCTTCACAAGAATCAATACAAGGACAATCGATCAATCAATTGATCAAAGAAGTCCACTGTCCTGCACAATTTCAATATAATAGAAAAGATCTGCATAACTTCCATTATGGGTGAAATTTATTTTCATAAAGCGTCACAGTGTTATACAGTAAGTAATATTTACTGATGACCACCTTTCGAGCACAGTTCGTTACTGCTCATAATCATATCAAGGCACTACTCACACAACTTTCTAACTTCATTTGTATAATCCTATTATTTTCCATCGCTTGATTTGATTGGTAGTAGTATTTTCCATACTCAGAATAAAGCAATCACTGGGCGAGTCTAAATGGTTTAATTTAATGTATAAAACTAGTAATTCTAGTAGAATACTATTCAAATACATAAGCCAGGTTACCCCATACGACCAATAGTAGACTTCAGAAATACCCCCACTTATCAAACTCTAGACTAAGCAATTAATATGAGATGAAAAATAAACTAAACGACATTCAACTAGAGAAAGATGAAAGAATGGTTAGTTTTGATATAACTAGTCTTTATACATACTAACATACCAATCAATATGGCTTTGGAAGCAGGTAGAAAAGAACTAACTTCAGATCCTGAACTCAATCATAAGACAGAGCATCCCACTGAAGAAATTATTTTAGGAATTCACCTATGCCTCACATCTACTATCTTTAAGTTCCAAGGTAAAATACATCGACAAACGGAAGGTGTAGCAATGGGATCACCAATATACCCTATTGCAGCAGACATATATATATGGACAGCTGGGAAAATAATGCTCTTCATACATTTAATCCTACTGTCTGTTTGGATTCAACATAGAACTTGGCACCGAAGTGCACCAGTTCGAGTTCCTACTCCAAAAATATGCGGGAGATATGTGGATGACACTTTTACAGTGTGTTTAAAACACAACATATCTGTCTCTAGTTTTTCGACGTGAAGGGAATAGATATCCACATTTGAATCAGAAAATGAACAAGGAGAATTAGCTATGACAGTAGACTGTAACCTAAAACGAGCGGATGAGGCTAAACTGTACACACACTAGCGGTTATAGAAAGCCAACGCATTCGGCTAATAGATATTTAGACGTCTTTAATTCATCTCATCCGTCATGAGCAACAATAAAACTGTGAGATTTTATTAAAATAAATTTTACCCATAATGGAGTTATACTCTACCACAGTGCACAAGATTTATTCTTTTACCGATGTTCAGAACTTACTTTTCACTTGATTCGGTTGATGCGGCTTCTGAGAGGATTGGATTACCAAATGACCAACACAGGAGACTTGTTATCACCAGTAGGAAGAAGAATAAATTTTTCAGATTTTTCATTTTCTGAACACCCTAAAAGTGAAAAATGAAAGCCAAGAAGTTTCTAGTCGATAATAAAATTACTGAATTTATACTCTCGCACAATTTTAATGACAGCACTGTCAATGCAACTGATCCTATCAGCATAGATTTAAAAGCCAAATCATAAATTGGCGAAATTTCTCATCGTCTAAATGTTTTATTATTATTTTTATTTCTGATTACAGCTTGATTCCACACTGTATTTTTGGTACAAGTATGGAATTTTCAGCGTGGATATCGGTAGCCCAAAATTCGCAGGCCGACCATAGATATCAGGTGTGCGTCGGCGTGGGCTCGAACCCCGGACCATGTGCATGGTCGGCGAGAGTCCTAACCACTGTGCCACCGACGCACACAAAAAGGAGTGCGTCGGCCATTGTCATTGTTTAGAAGCATCTCTGAGTTTCCGTCGTGTTATTCAACTTTACTGTTGATCTAGTCTTTTCAGTGCAATTCAGAACACAGCAATCACACTTGATATTGACTTCACCAATCGACCACAATAATGTCAGTGTTCTGAAAATCCTCAGCAACTAATTAAGGCTCAATAATCAAAACGAAGTGGAAGAAAGTTTTATTGATAAAGTCGAATATTCCCCAGCTGGTATTTCCATATTTATTTATTCAGGGTGAAGCAATTCATCAACTAATACTCGGATTGGTAGAAAATGTGAATCTATGTGGTGAAGAATGTAGAAGTGAGTGTTCTATCTCAATATAGTTGCCTAACACACATCTTGAGCATTCATATTTGAGTGTACTACCGAAATATTAAGGAAGTAATTTGATTGCATGAGGGTATAGGTCTAACTTTGTAGAATCAATTGTTAAACCCAACCTGCACCGATTTTCAATAGTTTACCCAAGACACAACATCATATTTCATGTATGCATTTTACTCGTTTGTCATCTAAGTCACCAGTGCTATTTCAGCAAAGTTAAACTCACGACACTACCCATTTTATGAAATTAAATTCCATATTTCATTGATGGCACAGAGGTTAATAATAATATTTATGATTTACTTTATTCCAAAAACAGTACTTGTGATACAGAATGGAATTTTCAGCATTAATCACAATATTACTGCATCTAATTTCCTTAAATTATAAATAAAAATTAATCACACAGAAAAATTTCCACATTTACAATAGAGGTAGTGTCAAAAACATGCAGCATATAAAATGGAAATAATAATGATAACAGCTAGGGTAATAATAATAATAATACAAGTGAAAATCGCCGTGGGCTTGTTTCACACAGTATTATCGATTCGGTATAGAAATCTTACAATGTTTAAAAATATTGAATATAATGTTCTCTTTACATGATATGGTGAGGGGAAAAACAAAGATTACAGGAGTCATAGAGATAAGCTGGTGTTTGCAAATATGAAAGCAAAATAAACAAAGAAGCAACAGGACCATAAATATAGCAGAAATAATAAAAGTAAAACTTGCAGGTATATAAGCATGGATGGATAGAGGAAATTGTTTATTTACTAGATGAAAAAAGGTTAATTAATTCTTGCCTGACACTATTTTCATCACATAAAATACGTGCCAAGTATGGTATCATAGAATCTCTATACCTACACGTGTGAACATACAGTTTTCTGAAGTTACTTCTTGTTCTACCTGAGGAGATGCAAGGTGAAAGCTGAGCGTAAAGTGGATGTTCCAAGTCAGACAAAATCCCCTTAGCAAATTAACTGGATGAAGTCAAGCGCCTGTCGACAACGACGTTGACTATGTGGTCCACTGGGACACCACTCACCCTACTGACTGTCTTCAGCATTCTACAACTTGTGACATAGTCCTTTTTAAGCTAACCAGAAAAGAATAAGCAGGGGTGAACAATAAAGAAGAATAGGTGGGATGCAAGCGTTTATGGATTGTAAGAGGAGGGGTTGAGTTATACCCGAGTGCCTTAACTTCCTAATGTAAAATGTTAGGCGGAATATTTTACTGGATATGGCTATGACATGGGGAGACCAGGAGAGATCAGAAGAGAGAATAAGTCCAAGATACTTAAATTCTGATTTAATTCCTATATCATTGTCGTCAATCTCACAACTGTCATGAGAATCGATGGCTTCTTTTAACTGTCTTTTAACATCTACAGATGAAATTAACAGTTCGACATTTAGAAGGATCCAATTTAGGGCCGTTAGACTCAGACCGTTTACTGACTCCCGAGAGAAAGCTATTTATTTTGGTTAGGTTACTTGCCGACCATCCACATGGTCTAGAGTTCAATCCCCTGCCGATGCACACCCGATTTCAATAGTGCACCTGCAAAATTTGGACTGCCGATATCACGTGCTGAAAATTTCATACATGTGCCGAAAATACGGTGTGGAATCAAGCTGTTATGAAAAAAGACAGAGATATGATACGTTACATTCCAAGTCGGTTTATCCACCATCCTATCCAACATTCAGTAGACTCTGTATTAGTACCAAAACGGTGTCAATAGGAATATCCTTATGTATCTCTGTAGATAATCAGTCACTTAATAAGACAGAAAAGAACTATGTTAGAATACTTTTGAATGGGGATTGCCTTTCTTAATAAGGCCAATCAACGCGTTGGATATTTTGATTAGGTTATCCCTTCAGCTACAATTTAGAGATCTGAGTAACATGATACCCATGTAAGTGGCATGTGTGATGGTGTACGCGAACTATACATCTTGGAATTCAAAAATGTAGTATCAGGAATGTGTAATGAAGTTTATCACTGAAGTAATAGAAGAGATTCGTAATTCAAGATGAGGATCTCAGCTGGCTAGCGTTGTGTTAGCTTTGATGTTTAGTCGTAGACTTTTCTTCACCAGGCTTAGTGACAGACTAAGTACAAGCCCCAACGGAAAGCAAGATTTCTGCTTGTCTTTATTTATTCAACCTTCAATTACTTATCAATTTGTCATGAAGTTGGTACTGACAAGGACATTAAACCTAGTTGTGAAACGTACACGATCAAATAGCACATCATTTACAAAGTCTATTGGTGCTAGAATTTCTTTATTATTGTCATCTACTATGAACTACAACATCTGACAGATTTATTCATCTAGTGTGAGTTATTCAGGTCGGCGAATATTATGAAAGATACCATAACTAGTTGTTTATTGCATTTCACAAGTTTAAATAATCTCTAGGTCTGATCTTAAGCGATAGGTCACTGTTTACACAAAACTCTTCGCCCTGCAGAAATATCTGCATATCGTGAAAATCTTATTCAGAAATAGTTTTGTGACTATAAAAAAATCCCTACTCCAAGTGATATATGTGGTAATGAAGGACAATCTTCAGTTATCGTCCTGAGACGTTTATAAAATACAAAATAACTGAGCAAAGAATGTCCTACTCTCCTCGCTCTACACCTATATATGCATGTTTATATACAGAGAATATTCTAGAATAATAGTCATTACCAATATTAGTGTTTCTTAGATAATATCGATTTGTTAAGTAAGATCTCAACGGAATTACAATTCATTAAAGATGCTTAAAGTATAATAATAATAATAAAGATATAAAGCAAATAGACTATCAATTAAAACCAACGAATTTCTATAAACAATTTAGGATCATTTAGCCGTAGATGACCAGCGGAGTAAGGACAATGTCTGCACTAGCTTCTTTCGAACACATACATTAGGCTTCTTAATGTGGATACCAACAGCCTCAGCAATATTTAGTAGTCGAACTCTTAAGGTGAAGTTAAGACTATTTGATAGGCGATAAGTGACTTTCTAAGCGCCCTCGTTAACATCAGTCTTATGTTCTGTATCCATAAGATGAGATAGAATAGCGCTACGTGAATGGATTTCGTTTGTCGTTTATTTGATTTAACCACGCAGGGTGATGTTGAAAAAATCTATGAGAAACACGCCTAATTGTGTCGCCTATGTAACTGGCTCATTCCACAGGAGCAGTTAATTTGGTAGATACTAGTCAGTGGGTACGTAAGTGTGAATACATTATACAATCTATGTTAACAACCACAGTTTTAGATAACTCATTTTAAAAAATAAAATGGAAACGTAAGCAATTCTAATTAATTAACCATACGCATCTCACTAAGTAAATATTCATAGGACTTACCCTCTTTGACCGAATGACGGCAAATAGAATAAGGTGAATTCACTTCACACTGTGTTACATTTTTATACCCCTTCTCGTATAGGATGACGCAATCACCTACTGAACCAAAAGCTATCTATGTATGATTTTCTCTGATTGTCGCCAGAAAAAAACACCTGTGCATTTAAAAAAATATATAGTCACTCTGAATTTTTTTTTATATACATATCAACATTTGTAATTTTCACTACACGACCAAGTATCTGTTTACAGTTGACGAAGGATATTGCCAAAATATTAGTCATACACAGTATTTCTATACTGAAATTATACAGATATATATACATAGTGTTTTTCAATGATAATCTGTGCTAACTGTTGAAACAATTTAGTGAATTGAAGTAGGGTATGTGGTGAGATTTGATTAGGTGAGATTACGGCATTAGTGTGGAAGCCATAAGTAAGTAAGTAAGTAGGTAGGTAAGTAATCTCTTTCTCTTCGTTAAAAACAAAGTGGAACCTGGTATGTATCAAATTGCCACACAGTAGGTAAGTCGAAACCTAAAACCTACACTCTGTTAACTTTATACAGCTTTTTTTTACACATATATATATATCTAAAATGATACGAATTTGTAGGCGTAAAAAGGTAAATTGTATCACAGAATTATACATTAGCGTTTCCGTATTGTGAAGTTTTTCACCAGTAACCATTAAGATAAAGTGTGTAGCGATTGAGTGAATACAATTATAATGTACCTTTTCAATATTTCAAGTATTTGTTGAATGCATATATGACCAGTACCAAATAGCACAAAACCTAGGTCAAGTAAGGCTTCATGCGGCCGATTGCCTCCAACCATCTAATATCATCAAATGAATGTGCACCATGATGGCGAGCTACCTAGTGGAATGATGGCTACATTGCAAACCTGACTGACTGATAGAGTTCAGTCTACACCAGAGAAAGGACTAGACACATCACACTAGTTACTAGTTTCCAATCCAAAGTATCCACTGCAGTCCTACAGGAGGTCAATGGCGAGTCCGAATAGCTCAGTGGTAACGTTTCGGACTGCAGCACTGTGTGGCAAAGCGGGTTCGAATCTCAGAATGTGGAACATGAGTTCCTTCAAGGTTTCGGGTACACCTTACCGATTGACTGTTGAATGCCAACTGGCATTAAACCTAGGTGAAGCAAGGCTTTCTGTGGCCGATTGCCTTCAACTATCTAAATCTCATAGAATGTAATGTTTATTGTGGTGAGACATAAAGAGGTATACTGTTGAAACATGATCACTTTTCGTTTCAAAATATGCCACAGATAGTAGGAGGCAGCACAGGTTACACCTACAATATTGAATTGACACAATAAACATGCTACTTTAAGTTGGATTACGAATATAACTTACAACGGGATTTTTGAACCACTGACCACTTAGATCACTTGCATGAGGCACTAATGACTGATTCAAGTCACAAATACACTTTAGAAGTCTTGCCTACTTGGTAATAATCCCCTAAATCGTTTTTAAAGATGTTATATCGCGTGAGAAGTTTTTAACAACACCTGTGAATAATGACATTGAAGATGATAATTATATGAATTTAGACAAAGTATTTGTGATCGCAATTAGGAATAATCTGATATGTATCCATTTATATATATATATATATATATATATATATATATATTTGTTGGTCTCTCTTTCTGTTTGCTCGCTTAGTCTGTGATCATTTCACTTGTATGAACCTGTCTCCTTTAACAATGTATATTCCCCTTATATTATATATAATATGAGTGTTTGTTGACAGTCCGTTGCTTGGTGACATATATCCATATATGGTGGTTGTTGACATGTCTGCTATATTTTGCTATATATATATATATATTTTCGTTCTCACAATTTGTGTGAACTACTTTACAACTACTTTACTTACTTACCACTTTGGTGTGAGACCATTTATTTTCGTCTCCTTGTGTTTGGACAATAGAAGTATCATCGCAAACCTAGCGGTCTTCTGATTTCCGCCTTCTTGCGTCAGGACTATTAGTTTCTCGACCAGTCCATAACAATAATTTGTCGACGAGTACATAACAATTTGGCGACGGGGAAACTAGTACATAACAATTTGCGACGAGTACATAACAATTTGGCGACGGGGAAAACTACTATTAACCACTCAGCAACAGCAACATAACAATTTACTATGGATCCTTCTAAATTGGAATTATTGTTTGAAAGACAAATGAAATTAATGGAAATGTTCGTCAACCAACAGACTGGTCCAGCTTCACCTTCAAGCAATCCCAATCATACCATGCTACCATCTGTCGACGGAATTGTGAACAGTATTTCACAGTTCAATTATGATCCAGAGGCTAATGTCACTTTTGACACATGGTATCAACGTTATGAGGATTTATTCACTGTTGATCTCGCCTCACAAGACGATGCCTGGAAGGTGCGAGTGTTGTTACGTAAATTGGGTCCGGCAGAATATGAACGGTACTGCAACCTAATTTTACCCCAGAAACCACGTGACAAGTGTTTCGATGATACAATAAAGCTGCTGCGTGAACATTTTGGAGACCACTCCTCATTATTCAGCATACGTTATCGTTGCCTCAAGCTGGCAATGAATGAAAATGATGATTTTCTTACTCACGTTGGCACAGTCAACCGAGAATGTGAGAGATTTCGACTCAGGTCCTTAACAGATGATCAATTCAAAGCCTTGATTCTCATATGCAGTCTTCAATCTCCTCGTTTCACAGATATCCGAACTCGACTGCTCAATCAGCTAGAACAAAATCCCAAGTTAACATTACATGACATAGCTGATGAATATCAACGGCTGATTAATCTGCAGAAAGACACACACCTGGTCGAATCAACACCTTCGAGAAGCTCTGATATTCGTGCATTACGAAAGAGCAAAAATCTCTCATCATCCAGTCCTGACCCACCTTCTCTTAATGTCCCGCGGAAATCTACACATACTCGTCCAACTTCACAAAATACTGCAAAGAAGACCCCACCATCACCATGCTGGCATTGTGGCGCGTGGCACTTTGTAAAGTCTTGTCCGTACAAAAATCATCGTTGCAGCAAGTGCAAAATCATCGGTCATAAAAATGGTTTTTGTCAGCCACGCAAACCCAGATGTCAAAATCCAGCAAAAGCTCGACAAACGGTTGGTCCTAAATCTCCAAAAAGATCATTGAGTCTACGTGCAACCTGTCAAGTCACAACACCAGCTATGCGGAAATATATTGACCTTCAGATGAATGGTCATGATACACGTCTGCAGCTAGATACCGCCTCTGATATTACTGTTATATCAGAGAAACTTTGGAATAATATTGGCAGACCACCTATCACCAATACTTCCCAGTCTCTTGTCAGCGCCTGTGGTGGGCGGCTCAAACTTATTGGTGAACTCAAATGTTCTGTTTCCTTCCGCAATACCAAATTCACAGGAATTTGCTACGTCACCAAGAGTGATTTAAATCTTTTGGGACTTGATTGGTTCGATCGTTTGCATCTGGCTGATGTCCCACTAAATTCTCTACGCAATGCAGTCAAGAAGCATAAAATGTCAGACAATTCCGGACGAAGCCGAAGCCGCAAACCCAACAGGCAGACGAAACGACAGACGTCAACAACAAGCTCAAAGGTTCCAGATAAACCCCCAGGTAAACATCCTACTAATCATCAATCTTCTCAAAAGGGGAGGTGATATGTATCCATTTATATATATATATATATATGTGTTTGTTGGTCTCTCTTTCTGTTTGCTCGCTTAGTCTGTGACCATTTCACTTGTATGAACCTGTCTCCTTTAACAATGTATATTCCCCTTATATTATATATAATATGAGTGTTTGTTGACAGTCCGTTGCTTGGTGACATATATCCATATATGGTGGTTGTTGACATGTCTTCTATATTTTGCTATATATATATATATATATATTTCGTTCTCACAATTTGTGTGAACTACTTTACAACTACTTTACTTACTTACCACTTTGGTGTGAGACCATTTATTTTCGTCTCCTTGTGTTTGGACAATAGAAGTATCATCGCAAACCCAGCGGTCTTCTGATTTCCGCCTTCTTGCGTCAGGACTATTAGTTTCTCGACCAGTCCATAACAATAATTTGTCAACGAGTACATAACATAATCGCTAAACCACAAAACAGACTATAAAATCTATGAATACTATAAAATACCTAGCCAATAAAGGCGTGTTAATATATGTGTAAAACTTAGGTACTGTGATAGTAAGTAATTCCAAACCAACACTTGTATTCCTTATTAATTTGTTTATTAGATGTATCACACAGTGAAACAGTATTATTATTTACTGGATGACAATATTACGAACACACTTTATTATTCTTCATAATCACATCAGTTAAAATCACACGACTTCGAAACTTGAGTTTTATAGTTTTCTTTGCTCTCTCCTTTTTGTCGTCTTTGAGGTGGTAAACTTCCTGATCATAACGTCCTATGTCAGTGAAAATGTTTAGGTAATAGAGACCAAACACTATGTAGTACCGAGAAAAATCTAAGACAGGAAATGAGGCACATAAGACAAGCTTTGAAACTTAATAATCAACCTGATAGATTAATCAGAAACTATGTAGGAAAATGTAAAAATAAAATAAGTATTGATAGTAGTGATAGTGATAATAATAATAATGATATTAATGACGACATGCATGTCAAATATGTGCAGGATAATGACAACACCAGCAATAAGGAATCTCAATCATCATTAGTACTTCCATACAACGAAGGAACCTCGGAAACCACCTTACGCAGAATTCTTAACAATGCTGGCAGGAATAAAAGTGGCTGGCATTCACGCCACCGATAAACTTAATTAGAAACATGCTTTGTTGGTTGGAGAAGCCCTCGCGTGAAGCCAATAAAACAAAACAGTTTAGTTTATCTAACACCCCGCCTGCAATCATTGTCAGGTCAAATACATAGGTCAAACCAACCGAGCATAAAAACCTAGCAGCAAAATATAGATTAGTTGACCAAAATAAGATAAGAAATCTAGAGAATAGTTCAGCTGTAGTTGGCATCACATGCAATTACACACAACCACACGATAGGATGGATAGGATTAGATGACAGTTTTTT